CTAAGAATTTCTCTCACTTGTACAACAGTATGCAAGTGATCAAAAATTGTACTTGAAAAAGGTGTGCTGAGAATAAGTGTATGTAGGATATCCAGCTATAACAGGGCTTCTTAACTGGATGTGTCCATCTGGTGGGTGTATTAAAACAATTAACAGAGGGAACTGATGTATGGAGTCTATTTAGCAGAGCATCATCTGGCCAAAAGCAGATTCCGACCGAGCTGTAGAAAAGGAAGGCAAATGCTGATATTTCCCCTGCTGGAAAGTTGAAAAACTTGTTGTTATCAACAAATTTTGGCATGGTGTAGGCTCTTTCGTGTAGAAAGAGAAACTAATTTAAGTTCATGTTAGATTGAATGCTGTAGTTGTTTTTATTTCAACTTCTATTCCTGAAGTTTTAACATTTATGGTTTGCCGATTTGCTCCATGAAATCCACAAAGAAAACTAAATTATTGGCTTCTTTCATTATTGCAATATTGCTATAGATGTGCAAGTAAAGATATAATAAGAGTTCAAGGCTAAGTAAGGTCTGTAAATTCCTAAACATAATTTTCCTACATCTAAGTACGTTTAGTCCCCAGCTCCTTCCCCAAGAATTTCCAGCCTCTGCTATCTGTGATATTGCCCACCCAGTTGTACCATGAAGACAGACATATTTTTTTTAATATACTTTTCATGGACATTTTCAGAACGTGCTGTCTTCTGGAGAAACAGATAAACAGATAATCACTTCAGCTTTTCTAAGTGATACTAAGTAGTAGCTGTAGGTGCCAAGCAGTACATAAGGATATGGTTTATAATCTTATTATATAAAAGCCAGAAAAGAAATAGCAATTAATTATATTCTATGAAATATATATTTAATAAATATATTAAATGCCGAAATAGAAAAATGCATGAGATTAAGTTTTATTTACTGCTACAATGTGATTCAGAATTTTATTTGCTATAATTAAGGAATGATTTATCCCACAGCATAAGAAAAATCTCAGAAATATGAACTCTTCCAGAAAATCCATACAGCCAACAGATGAGCAAGTTATAAGATAAGCACTCAGAATTTTAAATCATGGGAGAAAAAACAAAATGAATTTGTGTCTGTAAGAAAAGACTTGTGGAGGTTCCTGCATTAAAACTCTGCTTTATGAAATATGTGTGAAAGACTATCAAATTGTCTCTTAAGTATCGGTAGAAAAAGATTATAGAACAAAATGAACAGTAGCAGGGTCAGAATGACCACAGCCAGGACTTCTAGTGCAATAAAGAATGAAAGGACTGCATGATTATGTCTGAGATGTAACTTTCTTTCACTTTATGTGAAAGAATAGAAGAGGCATATGGGACACCAATTTTCCTACAGGATTTATGAGCTGAACAAAAGAACTATTTACTAATAACTCTTATGTCCTTACAGAGCAAAGCAATAAAACCCAAAAGAAAGCATAGAGTACATGAATATATTGATTTATTATATGGTATTCTGTAAACTATTAGTTTAAATTCATGCTAGATTGAGCAAAAAATGTGAGAGAACCAAGACTAAAAGTTGCCATAGATCAAAAAATTTTTTGAGATTTTTCTGTTACATGTAACAATAATGTGAATAATCACAGAGGTGAAAATCTAACTGAAACAATGTTTTCACTTTTAGCCAGTTAGTTCCACTTTCTTGTAATTCAAAAATGGAACACACTATCAGCAACACTTCATTATTATTTCAACTCAGAAAGAAGCTCTTTCCTATGCATGACCGAATTCAGTGATTTCAGGCAAACACATGTGCAACTTCACATTAAAAAGTGGTTTTCTTTAGAAAATGAAGACTCCATAAAATCATTTATCATCCATGTATTTGCCTTAGCACATGTTTCTGAAAAGGGAATTTTTTTTTCCCCAAGTGTTTCTGAGGAAATACTTCCATCAGTCCCAATTATTTGGTGTAGATAATTTCTGATATTAATAATTTCTGATATTAATAATTTCTGATATAAATAATTTCTGATAGTCTAGCAGATTATGAAATAAATTGTTTCAATCCATCCCGCTATCCATAAATAAACTGGATATCTAAATGAGACCAGGGATGTAATACTATTGTTTGTGAACACCCACGTAAAGCATTACGTTTTCAATTTTAAAACATCAGAAATACAGAATCAATAGAAACAGTAATAAAAATCACACTATAAAGGAAAAATAATAGAGAGTTATTTTAGTCATCATGCAGCATTCATTGGTTCTGTAAAGACCCTTGAAATGAAAGTGTTGATGACACCTTAAACAAATCATACTCTAGGGATAAAATGAAAGTACTTAGAAATATGTAAGTTGGCATTTGTGTTCTCTGTCACAATTCATGCCTGATGCCACATGAGCTTCAACTGCCATCATCAGGGTTATTTCTGCACCACTTGAGAAGACTTTGATCTTCCTTGGATTTCCTAGATGGGTTTTGGTTTAGTTTCTGCTCTGAGCTTTGTAAAAAGGCAGTTGTTGCTTTCCTTGTCCTCTCTTCAGTGCTCAGGCAGCCTCTCATTTCACAGTTCGTATTCCTGCAAATGGGAATGCTGTAGACTATTGCTGTTACTGAGAACTTTTGGGGAGTGCTTTTGTGGATGCTGACTCTCATGACTAAGGAGTTCTTTCATGAATTTTGGGAGAAGCTACCATACAAAGTCAATCTTTTTGATGGAGTTGCCCATTGTTGCAGTTTTTCACTGTATTGCCACCTTTTTTTCCCCATATATTTCTACACAGATCTTAATCCCAATAGAAATTTACAGTTAAACTGTGTTTTGGTGCAATTTTTGATCCCTCTTGTGCTATAGAGAATCTCAATGTATGTGATAAATTAGATTTAACCTTTTTTTTTTCCTTCTCTCCTGTTGGTGTTATCTCACAGGTTTTCTTTTTCTGTCTTGTGCTTGACATCCATGTATGTTCTACATTTGAATAACAAAGTGATAAAATACAGATAAAATGTTTATTTCCATCTTATATGTGAATTTGTTGGGATTAGTAGTTGACAGCATGATGTATATTTTAATGTCAGATTAGGAATACTAGCATTCTAACACAAATTTGTACTGTAGCTGCTCGTTAAATTGATGATTTTCACAGATAATTCTTTTTCTGACATCAGGGCTACTGCCAGAACTGAGACATTTCTTTTTTCTTTCTTCAGCTGTAGTTAAGTTTTCAAATCCTCCAAACACTATTGGGTATGTATGTACCATCTCCACTTCTGACTACTTAGAAATATGTAATGAATTAGAAACCAGAATACATTTCCCTGCTTGTTTTTGGCATGGATTGTTTCATTTGCGTGTACTAGAACCAACAATGATATAATTCTTTTCTTGAAGACATTTTTTAGGGCCAAAAAACCCACCCCAAAATGGCTTCTATTAATTTTCTGTTACAGTCTAGGACACAAGGGAAATAAGTGATGTCAGTTGGAACAAGGAATTAAAAATACAATAATGTTTAATTTATCCTTATTCTATGCACAAAGACAGCAACACTCCTCCTTGTTCTTGTACTGATCATGAGCAAAAAGTGCACTTAAAGTCTGTTGCAACTAGTAAGATGCCACAAGAAAAGTTTAGCTAAATTGCTCAGCTAAATTGTTCAAGAGATGGTGTAGGTTTTTTCTCTGTGAAACCTTTCTCCCCTTTGCTTTTGATTTTTGAACACTGTTTCACAAGTGGAGAGAGGATTTCCTTTTCAACGACCTCTTCAATCACAATTCATCTTTACAGTCGATTTCTGCCACAGGCATTTGCCCTTTCGTGGCCGTGGTGCCTCTATTTCCTACCTCTCCCATTCCTTCATACTCCTTGGCAACCTTTGGGTGATCATGTGCATTAAAACTCAGCAAAAACGTGAACCTCACACTACTAATAACAAGCGCTGTTTATCCCAGCTCTAAGCAGCAATGATACTGGGGCTCCAACAAGACAAGTGCTCCATTTGTACTGATTTTCAGCTTTGATTTTTTGTGTTATCTTGAGCGTATTAAAACACATCAACTGATCCCATCTACATATAATGTTCTGGATGCTTTAACTGCTTATGTCTCCTACAGACATCCCCTATGCATCCTGCCTACTGTTGGGTCTAGGCAGGTAAGCAAACCCACGTCTAGAGTGGGGCACGAAGAGCTCGGGCCAGTCCTTTCCCTCTGGGCGTTTCGTGAGGGGCATCAGCTCTCCCTGCCCAGCGCCATCGGCCCCAACACACCCCTGGGCACAGGGAAGCGCTCAAACACTCAAGGGAAGGACGGGCGGTGCCCTTGGCCATGCCACGTGCCCAGGGCCCGAAGTGGAGGAGGAGGAGGAAGGGGGGAACAGGAAGAGGAAGAGGAAGGGAAGGAGGAGGAGGAAGGCAGCGGGGTCTGAGGGTGCCGGTCCCGTGGGGGCGGTGCCGCCCCGCCCGCCTTGGCCCTCGGCGGCCGCCGTCCGTCCCCCCAGGTGAACGCGTATCCCTCCGCCGCGGCCGCCCCTCACCGGGCTCGCAGCCGCAGTGCCCGGATGGAAACTGTGATGGCCTCCGGCAGCGCCGCGCCGGGCGGCGGGACCCGCGGTAACTGCGCGGGACGCGCCGGGCGGGGGCGGGGGGGTCCTCGAGCCGTGCGGGAGGGGCGGTCTGGTGCGGCGCGGCGGCGGAGCGGGGTGGGCAGGGGGCACCAGCCGCGGCGGGGCGGGACGCGGCACCATCAAATAGTGCTCGCCCGCCGCCCCCGCGGCCGCGGCCGGGTCACGAGGCGGGCGGGCCGGGCGGGTCCGCGGGGCGGGGGCGCCTCATGGCGGGGCCGCTGTGCCCGCCGCTGTGCCGTGTTCCTCCGCATCGTGTTCCTCCGCCGGCGGGGCGGCGCTGCCGCCGGGCCCGCCCGAGGGGCCGCGGGGCTCCCGAGGAGGAGCCGGCGAGGGCAGGGAGGGCCCCCCTCGACCCCGCTGAGTTGTCGGGCGGCGCCCGGCGCTGCGACCGCGATCGCGCCCTGCGGCAGTGGCAGCGCCGGGGGCTCGGTCCCTGCGCTCCCCGGGCTCGCCGCTTCTCGCCCCGGCATTCCCGGTGGGGCGGAGGCGGCGGCGGTGCCCGCAGGTGGGCAGGGCTGGCCGGGTGTCGCTGCTCTTTCGTGAATGGCAAGTTTGCCGTGTGCGTGTCTGTCCGTCTCTCTGTGAGCTGTGAGAGTGATCTGTTAATTTTTTTTTTCTTAAGTGCAACGTTGTGCTGCCAGGTCGTATCTGACCGCTCCAGCTCTATGGGTTTCTTAAGATGTAGTTCTGTTAAGTCCCTGCATGTGTCCAGATCTTGGCAGACTTGAAAACACCGCTCTAAATTTGCAGGCACATAGGCTGGGAGTAGGCATGGGATAAGCTGCAATACAGGGTGGGTTTTTTTCCCTAAGTAAAATTTAAATAAATGTACAGAAATGTGGAAAATAGTACCTGCCTGGATATGTATGTTGAAGTTTGTTCGAAATGGAAAAACCGTAAAAGTTACCTAATTTAGCAGTGTCTAACTCCTGTCTCTTATTTCTCACTAGATCAAAGTATATAGCCCAAACTTTCTCTGCGTGTGTACTTTCTTCAAACAAAATAAAGACATACTGTGCATTTTTGGAGGAAGAAAATTGAGGCTTAGAGCCTCAAGTGGTTACTTTCGCTTGTGCTTAGTGGTTTGTTTTTTTTTTTTTAGCGAGAGTTAACTGTGACACGTGCTTATATATTTTCAATGTTTGTGTTCATTATATCTGTTTTTAAATCTGCTTACTTATTTCAGATACTGTAAATGTAATATTCTGACTCCTTCCTAGGCATTTGCAAAACTTTATAGGAACTTCTAATTAGGTTTTTGCTATAGAATTCATTAACATTTTTACTGAAGAAAAGATAAATGCCTTTTGAGTTCAAGTTAAAATTTGGTGGACAGAGGCACCTGTTTTTAAGTTATTATATGTTTATGCTTATCAGTTACAAATGCCTGATGTAGTGGCAAAACTAAGGTTAAGATAGGCCTTGTTATATTGTATATATACAATATTGATACTGTATTTGATGGTGTTCCTTGGGAGAGAACATACTACAGTGTTTTTGTCTTCAATGTATTAAAAATACACATAATGTAAAATTGTGAGGAATTTGTACTTTTCAGCTTTCAAAATAGCTTTCCTTTTTGTTTTCAGAACTTTTTTTAGTATTTCTCCGGACTGTGGCCTTTTCTGAGTCTTGCATATTTACCTCTTCTGTGTTTATGGAAAAAAAGCAACTGTTGAAGAATTGAAGTCTTTTCCTAACATGTAAGTCAGACTTCTTTGATAATGTACATTAATGGTTGTTTCTGGTAAATATGTTCATTTGTCATGTGGCAGGTGCTTGTCCATAGTTGCATAGTACCCACTAATAACAATGTTAAGTTATAATTTATAAGGATAATTAGTAAAAGTAGATCTCAGATTGAGTTTGAATACGCCCAGCTGGGACTCTTTGTCAAACATAAATGTTTTATCCAGTTAGTGAAATTTTGACCGGGTGAGGACCACATTGGCCCCATGTTAAAAGCCTGAGTCTTGTTCTCTGCAGTATTTTATCCACTTCTGATTTTTAGAATGTTAATTGTAAATATACATCAGGTGTCAGTGTTTGACAGTATAACATTTTAATCTCAGTGATGGGCAGCTACTGACAGGATGATGTATTGCATCATGCAACCTGTAATCTTTGTGTTGCATCTCTGTATTAAAGAAAGTTCTTCAAGCAAACAAATCCAAGTCATTTTTAGTTACCTGTTCTTTATGTGGGAGTTCAGCTTGCTCCTGTTCCAATAAGAGATTTACTATTGACAAGAGAACACATTGTAACACATGTTTTGGTGGAAATGGAGTGTGAATGCACATGAGTTGCATGCTCTGAAGGCTCAAAGTAGGGTAATGTCCCATGTTATATTTCTGTTGTAGAAGATGGGAAGTGTGTCACTGAGTTAAAAGAAAAATAAAAATCCTGTACTCAGAGTGTATTCATTTGAAAAGACTCCCAAGGAGGGATTGCACATCTCTGTGGTTTGTCAGGTTTTTGAATGTTAGGTGTGTAGTTGAAATCTCACAGGTCTCATAGCTGGAGAGCACAGTTAACTGAATTTATTTGATATTGGGTTCTGTGTAAAATGTCAAAGCCTGATTTGCTTATTCAGGAATTGTGCACAAATGCTAATATCTTCTCCAAAAGAATGCAGTAAAGCATATGCTTAAAAAAAGAAGTGCTTTGCTTTTCTTGCTACATGATACGTGAACTTGTAAAGTAGCTTGTTACATGGACTTGTAAATTTTGCAGTCTCCATTTTCTTTGTCAGGTATTTGCATGTCTAATGCTAGATACTTCCTTCTCATAGGACTATGGGAAAATATTTGGAAAATCTTAGGGCTATTGCTTATGATGGCTTGGAGCTCTGGAAGCAGCTCTTGCACTTCATCACGATGAGGGAGAGGCTGTGATCATTTTTTCGGTTTGGATGTGAATAAATAAGATGATCTAATGAGTTCCAAGTCTGTATTGCTTCAAGGTGGGCACGGGAGTAGTGGAGAGAGAACCACTGATTAGATTTCACCTAACAATTTACTGACTTTTGTTAGGAAAGAAGAAAGGGACTCTATGACTTCTACTGTGGAAAAAGTTTTTATTTAAAAGTGTTGTAGTAGTGAAGAAACAGTTCTTTCTTTCCAGTGTTGCTTTTCAAAATTTGTTAGTTTTGATGCTGTTTTCATTTCTGCTGATTCTGTGTCGACACGTGGGAGTGATGTTCGAGCATAGACTTGAGCTGCCATAAATGGTTGGTGCAGCCTGTTGTGGAAACACTGCCATGAAGTCTGTAGTGAGGCAGTGATGCTGACCATACCTCTTTGAGCCCTTTAATCCATAGAGGAGTGCTGTTGTCAGTCATGCACATTAAGAGATTAAACATGTGGTGAGAAACCTGAGATAACTTTTATCTATTCACTACTTTAGACTTGTGTGGTACTAAAGGTAGGCAGATGAAAAATTCATTCTGGATTAGTTTGGTGGGTTTTTGGGTTGTTGGTCTGGCCTCCATTAGTGGAGTGGATACTTTGTCAGATTCTGATTTTTGTTTGTCTTTGCTTTTTAAGCACAATAGTTAGTTGCTAACAGAGTAGCAGACTTGAGTAATGAAAATACCAAATCCTGCTGAATTTGACTTGTTTTTAGTACTTCAGCTATGTTCAGTTATTGATCTATGTCACAGAGTGTTTATGTTTGCTTTAAATCCCAATTGAGTAATAAATGCAATCTTCATCTTAAAAAAGTAGCTCACAGGATGGGAGAACCCCAAAATTTGATGGCATGGAATTTCAGTGTTTTCATCTTTCGGTAGATGTTGTTCTGTAAGACTTATTTTTCAAGTTTTATATATAAATGTTTTTGAAAACAAATGAACAACAAACCAATGAACAATCCCAACACAAGCAACCAATCAAAGGTTACAGTGTAATCGCTTATTTTTTTGACTCATCCTTTCCCTTCTCCCCTCTCTCAAATGCTATTATAACTTCCAAGATTGGCATGTGATTCATTAATGAATTGTAATGAGTGTTCTAATTGCATTACTTTTAAAAGTAATATTTGCTTTGTTTTTTAATTTCAGGAGAATGAAATGAGGAAGTTGTAGAACTTTGACTTGGCGCAGTAGTCTCATTTGCTGCAGAAAGTTAAACTAATCCCAAGAATTCATGTAAAGAAAATTAAAGCCTAAAATGTCATCTGAAAAGGAACAGTTTTTTTGTGATAAAAAGGAAATTAGTTTCTTAAATCACAATGCTGTGAGGAATTGTTCTACAGATTCTACTTTGGAAAAAGAACCGGTGAATGATCCTTTAAGTATGAGGATTCAACCAACAATTTTAGATGTCAATCTTACTTATGAACTAAAAAATGTGAAAATCGAACTACCCAAGGTGAACATTCCAAATGAAGTATTAGTGAAACATGAAGTTGATAGGTTTAGAGAACTCTTTCAGTGTAAGCAGCAAACTACAAGGAAGTCCTTAAGGCTAGAGAAAATAAATGGAAGCAATCCTGATTGTTCAGAGAGAAGCCACTTGCAAAATAAACCAGAAGTGCAATTTGAAAAAGAGTTGAGAACTGCAGCAAAGGTAGTGAATTTCACTTGTACAAAGTGCAAGGATAACATTAGATACAGCCCAAATGATCTCCAGAAACATTTTCAGCTGTTACACTATGGCGAGTTGCCTTTGTATCCTTGTGAGATGTGCAGCTTCTCAGCGAATGACTTCCAGTCCTTTAAACAGCATCGGCGCATCCATCGTAGCACTTTGGTAAAATGTGAGCTCTGTAATGATGAACAGATATACACTTTGTTGGATCTGACAAAACACTTCATATCAAAGCATTGTGTAAATGGTCACTTTCAATGTGAAAAATGTGCATTTTCTACCCATGATGTGGGCACGTTTGTTCAGCACATTCACAGACATAAAGAGATTCCCTATAAGTGTGGAAAATGCCACCAAGAAAACTTCACAGAAGAAGAGCTCCAAAATAATCATCTTGTTAATACCAGTATGTTTTCTTTTGGTTGTCATTATTGCAGTTACAGCACATCGCGGAAAGATTATCTTTTAAAACACATCATAGCTTTACACAGAGACCACTTTATTGCAAAAGAAAAACCGGAAAAGGATAAATATGAAAAAAGAATAGTGAAGACTCCAGCAGGACTGAAGCTTGTGTTAAAAAGGTATAAAATAGGAGCATCAAAAAAAGCATTCTGGAGAAGGAAAGAAGTAAGCAGTGGAAGCGACAATACTGGAGAAGAAAATGCACAAGTGCTAAGAAGTGTGAATAAAATTCAGACAAATGCTGAGGAGCTGAACCAGTGTGTGAAAGACATGGAAACAAATGAAGAAAAAGATCAGGTTAAGTACACAGAAAAGTGTAATTTCATGGATGGAATGTTCTCTGCTACTACTGCACAATACAATAAGGCAGATGATGGAACAAGTTACGGCCTGGGATTATTGAAAAATGCTGTTCATGGCCCAACAGTGTTGATGGTTAAAAACAATCAAATATCTGTTCCGGCAAATTACAGTGCTAAATTTATGGGCTTTAAAATGGTAGATGGAAAACAACATATTGTTATAAAATTACTACCTACAAGCAAGCAAAATGAGTATTACTTGGGTCAGGAAGCTGATCCTATTAAAGATGGTTCTGCAGCTCCTTTGCTACAGACTTCTGATCCCTGTGGTTTGTCTTCAGGTGCTATAGCACATGTAGCTGATCAGTCAACCTTAAAGAACAATTCTGTTCACACATTAACTTCCCCTCCATTTTCTTGTCCTGCACGTCATTCAGGAAAGATAAAAGTGGAAAAACAAAATAACTCCATATTGTATGGCAGGAGTGTTTCTGAAACTGTAGCACCTTCTAATATAGCTGTAGGAAAAAGTTCAAATTGTTTGCCAATGAAGTTGGGCTCAACTGTACCTCCACATGACAAGGTAACAAAAGTTGGAACTCAAAACAGTGTCTCATGGGGAAACTTCAGCCCTTCAAGTCATCCTCAGGTATTACCACCCGCCATGACAAATACACTTCATTATGACCCTATGAAAATGCCCTTCTTTTCTGAACTGAAAATACAAAATGGTGGCCTGAATAATAGTAATGGAACTAATAATCCCTATTATTCAACTTCAATGGATTCTTCTAATGGAAAGTTGTTGTCTTTTCACAACTATTCCAAAATGGACTTTTTGGATAATCCACGTAGCATTTGGATGTCAAGAAATGACAGACGCAAAAAATTTGCAGCTAGCAAAACAGTTTCTTTTCAGAACAGTGGGAGTGAATCTGCATCTTCATATTCAGAGTCGATGAAAGGCTTAAAAGCAGAGAAAGTTGTGTCAGCCCAATCAAATATTAATAAAACTTATGAACATATAAACACTAAAAATAACTCTGTGTCTCTTAAAAGCCAATCTAAATGTGGTGTTGACAGCGAGTGTTTTATGGAGGACCAGCATCATGACCAGCAGTATTTGGACACTAACATAGATCAAGGCTTTCAGAACGTAGCTGAGAAATTCCAAGAAAATGCCTCTGATTGCCTTAACTCTTTCTTAATGCCTAAAATCACGTCTGTTTTCTCCTTGCAAAGTGAACAAGCAGCTAATTATTTATCGCCTGAAATAAAAGAGATGCTGCAAGATGTGTTAAAAGTGAAAACAACTTCTCAGCAAGAGTTCCCCAGCAAGACAAATAACTGTGTAAAACTTCATTCTGACAAGCTGCTTTCTGGTCATGAGACCAGGAATACAGCCTTCATGCATCTAAAAAGCTCTGCAAATACATGTGGTTTTCAGAGCCTTCCTTCTAGTGTAGAATATAAGAGAGAGCTGAACACAAGATGTAGCACAAATGAAGGTACACATTGTGGGAGAGAAAGACAGACATCCAGAACATCATTTGATTCACAGGGTGTGGACAAATTATCCATAACTCCAGGTGCTGGTACATTGTTAAAAACTTGTACAGATTCAGTCATAACACAGCAGTTAGTAAAAGACAAAATACTGTCTGCGGCTCAAAATCCCAGCAGCTTTTCACCTGTTTTACCTGTTGTTCAGGAACAGAAGAAAACCCTTTTCTTTAAGTCCCTTCCATCAGGATTTTTTGTTCCTTTGCACCTTGCTACCCAGCCTGGACAACAGGTGGCTTCAGGAAAATCAACCAGTTCGTCAGATGGGCATGTGACTAAAGATGTACCTGCATCTTTTGCTTCAAGTAAAGGACCTGGAATGAGTTTGACTTTTAGCGGGGCAGTTGGAACAGCTGCAAGTGCCGCTAATGATAGTTCTCAGGTTTTAGGGGGATTTGCATCCAGAGAATTTGGTGAAATAACCATATCACCTTCAAAAGTGAAGGCGGAAAATGACAGTGTTGGAAGTGTAAGAAGTTCCTGTAGCAGGGAAGCATGTAGTACAGCAAATGATTCGTTGAATAGCATGCCATTCAGAGGATCTCCTGTAACTACAAATGCATGGGAGTCATCTGTGAAAGGAATTTCTTCTGTGGAAGTGTTATCAGAGCATCAGGATGCTGTCTTTGGTTCTTTGGAGTCAATAAACCAACGGGAAATTAAACAGGAACAAGATGTTTATGCACTTTCGCCTGATGGACAGCAGGGAGCTTTTCTGAAATGTATGACACCAAACAAGCCTGTAGTTCATAAACCAATTTTTTTTCATGATAATTCTCATCATCAAAATTGTCAACCAAAGAAAACTGGAGCCATGCAACAACAGCTTTTGCTGAAAATGAAGCCTCCTACTTCAGATACACTGGCTGATACCACTCAGTCAGTGAGCAACTCAGTGCCCTCACTACAGGTGGATAACTTGCAGTTCCTTACTCCTGCACTAGCACAGAAACAAACTAATCTTAGTTTTAATAATGCCTTAATCTTACCAGGTGGGTTAATGCCAGCAAATGCCTCTTTGGCAAGCTCTAATCCAGCATGTTGTGTTCCTCCTGTGGAACCTGTTTATTCTACTAAATCTGCAGGGACACGATTGCAGAATGGTTCTATTGAGAGAACACAAGTAATAACTGCTAACAACAGGAATAACTTCAGTTGTCAGAAGTCCACATGGAGCACCCAAAACAGAACTGCAAAAGTAAAACCTCGTTTAAAACAAAGGGGCTCTAAAAGTTCAGAAACTCGGGGTGTGCAAAGAAATAAGAATTTCAAACGTAAAAGAAAGGCCAGTTGCCCAGAACCTCCAAGAAAGAAAGTAATGTTGCACAGAAAGTGTAAGGAAAAGAATCAGGCTGCAGTTGTTAGTGAATCGGGTAGCCCCTACAAACAAAGGGCATCAAAAAAAACCGTGAGGACTTTGAAATTACTTCCTTTTAATTCTAACCAGCTTGTAAAATGCCCTCGGAGAAACCAACCAGTGGTTGTGCTTAACCATCCTGATGTAGATGTTCCAGAAGTTGTAAATCTAATGAAAACCATTGCTAAATTTAAGGGACATGTTCTTAAGGTTTCATTGTCAAAAAGAACTCTTGAAGCGCTTCTACAGCCAGCCTTCTGCAATCCTTTGGATGTAACTACTGATGTTTTTTCTCAAAAAAGATACAGGACAATAAAACCTATTAGCCCTGTAAAAGAAAGATTTGTCTTAAAATTGACACTGAAGAAGACTAGCAAAAACAATTACCAGATTGTAAAAACTACCTCTAATAATACCTTGAAAGCTAAGTTTAGCTGCTGGTTTTGTGGTAGAATATTTGACAATCAGGATAATTGGGTAGGACATGGACAGAGACATCTGATGGAGGCCACTCGAGATTGGAATTCGTTAATGATGACCGGTGAAGAATATAAAACTTAAATACCATGCATTAAAGTTTTTAAAAAAATATTCAGTTGAATTAGGATACACAAGTGATTTCGGTTTTTATATCAGTATTGTAACTGAAGTTCAAAAATGATGCAAAGTGCTTGTGTTTTTAAAAAAAGAGCATATTCCCTATTGGCCTCAGCTTTGAGAAAGATCAAGGAGCTTTGTGGTTTAAATAACTTGTAACTAACTGCAAATACAATTCCATAAAAAGATATATTATTTTTTATTACTACTATCATGTGCTATATTTTTATTCTGTAGAATGAATCTTCAGGGCTTTTGTTCTGTACATATTTAAAAATCCCTAAACATGTAAATATTTTTATACTTTTCAATTACTTGGTATAATTCTTGCACAGAAATTACAGCCCCTCCCCCATTTTTCAGTTCTGTGCATGCACTACTAAAACCAATTTTTAAAATCTTTTCAGATACACACAGTTGTTATCCTGGGATTTTTGTTATTTTCACTTATTAGCTCTTGATTTTGTTTTTCAGGGATTGAACACTATTGTTAGCAAGTGCCTCAAAGATGTGAAGCAGTTTACATTGTCGACTGTGTAACCGTGGGTCTGTATTGGGCCATTTCCCCAACAGTTTCATTTAAACAAAGCCATATGTGAATGCTTTAAGCTATATTTCTATGCACATGACACTTGTACTATTTCTGTGCAGTTTGTCTACTTTCTTAGTGAAGTATTTTTCATATAAATTAATAAAACGTTACGTTTGTGTTAATACGGTGAGTCAGAATAAAATCGATTGAAAATATACAGTATATATATTCATAATGTATATGGTGTTAAAGAATGGTGAACATTCCTAATCTGTATTGACTTTGTCACTATTAAATTTGCTACAACTTGTGTTTACAGAAGATGACTGTGAGCATTTATAGAAAATATTCCTGTCTTGTTACATCTGCCACAAACCCAGTATTGGGAAGTGCAGAGCACCATTTCAGGCCTGTAACTGCATTATAGTTTTGTCCCAGGTGGGCGTAATTTGTTCTATGCTATTGCTTATTAAGATACACTGCCTTATAGGGTACCAGGGGTTTGGCAAAACCAAGGCTTGAGTCACTCCTCCCTCATTTTACCAACCAGTAGGGTAATGTTCTTAGGAGCCTGCTGGCTTCCTACTTACATATTTTGGGATGATGATGAAGAGAGAATATGCTTCACATTTTTTAATGTTTATGAGGGTATGTAAACAAAAGTCTGTATCCATAGTGACTGAGAGTACACAGGTGGAGCTCCTTATTATCCACAGTAATTATTATTTGTAGAGGCTTTGTCCTTCAGATTTTTAATGAAGCGGGTGGCTGAAAGTTCCAGACCTTTTGCCCAAGTACGGCAGGATTACATCTTAGGCGTGCCAGTCAGCTTCCCAAAGTAGTGATGGAAAAATTTCCAAAATTGTGTACTGGGCTTGGAGAAGACTGAGGTATTTAAATCTTGGGGATTTTAGATTGTATGCAAGCCCAGGTAGTTCTCTGTGACTATTTCTGTAAGGTGAAAATGAAGATTGCCTTGCTACCCATGAAACAGTTTGAACTCTTTCATGGATGGCACAGACATGTCCACTAACCTGAATTCAGCTTCTGTGTTAAAAGTGTTAAAATTATTAAAAAAAAAAATCATTGGCTAGATACGTTTTTGTTTCTTTATGTGTCTGTTGGCAGGAAGATGCACACTAGCTTCTTGTAGCTGGTGAGTTATGTATGGGAGCCAACTGAAGCAGTCAAGGCAGCATAGTTTGGGTGAATTGCAGGTTAGTGTCAGGTTAGTGTGTGTTGGTATTACATACAGTTGTTATGTGTTTTGTATCAAAATTAGATCATTTTGTGCTGCACAATGGGTTTGAGCTCTGACATTAATTTGGCTAGGAACTTTGAAGATGACTAGTGTAGTGGTGAGGAAGTACGTTGACAAGAAACAGGATTAGGAAGGACAAAAGCATGTTAAGCTTTTTTGACTGGAAGGATCAATCTCTCATCCGCCTCAGCTTGCTCTCCTATAAACCCTGAAACTGAATCTGTGAATTTTGCATATTGCCTTTGCCTTTTTTGGTAAAATATCTATAAAGCTATTTGCTAAACCTACTTGGTGCAACTTCAGCAAGAATGACCAGTTTTAGTTAACAATTATGTAGCACCAAGATGGAAGTTCTACTGTAGGAGGGTTTCTCTATATTTATGAATCATGAGAGTGACAATTATCACTGGAATTTTTTTCTCACTGGCTTGTTCTATAAATTGAGTAACCTTAAGTAGTACTGTAAAACTAGGAAATGTTGAAATAAGTTTGCTTTATACAATATTAGTTCCCTGTTGTGTCACTTTATCCACAGACATCCATCTCATTCAGTGCAGAGAACTGTTGCTCCCTCCTGAGTAGAGATTTAATACTTTGTTTCCCCACCATTAATTACTGTCCTTGTATTATTTAGCACACATTGCTCAAGTACTGTTCTGAATACATAATTCTTTTATTCTTATGAGCTTTTCCATAATGCTTTGTTTGAGGTCCTAAGAGTCTGGCACTTCTGTAGATCAGATTTCAGAGAATTTCATTTAAGACTTCAGTGAAATTAAGGTCACAATTAATGGTGTCAGGAGAAAATCTGGCTTAAGCAATCTGACTGGTGTCACAGTGGATGGTGCAGTAAAAGGTTCAGGTCAGTTCTTCAAAGAAATGTTCAACTGCTTTAACATATGAAGCTATCTTTTTACTGGCTGACTCTTGCAATGTTGGTGCATTTCTCAGCATCTTCAGTAAATGGATAAGGTACCTTACAAATACCCTACAAAACAGAGTCTTTAATTACGTGCCTATAATTTATCCATGGAATATTTTTTGAACCAAGTGAAATATGTAACTCCACATGGAAGAATAATTATCATATTTAATGTTTGTATTGTAATGGATAAATCTGATATGACAAATTAGAATTGCACAGGTAGCCTGATTTGAAGAGTGCTTGACTTTTCAACTGTAACACTTTAAGACAGCTCATAACATTGAACACATGGCAAGATAAGAAAACCTTAAGTTGGTTATAGCATTTTTGGGACACACAGAAATAGATGCAAGCGCAGGGTTGTCAACTGTTTGTACAGTATTTGTGTTAACCATTGAGGAGGCCTAAAATCGAGCCCACTGTATATTCTTCAAGATGTGTATTCATCAGTACATCAGAGTTGCCCTTCCTCAGCAATTCCAGTGTTTCAACAGAAATTTGTTACAGAGCTCTTGTCATGTGAGAAGTGTTCTTTTTTTTTACAGCACTTAACCTCTGGCTTCTGCTGGTGGTTTTGATTGAAGGAGGAAAGTAATTTTATAATGTAGCTGAGCACTTGGCTTTTTGAGAATGGAAGTTCTTACTCCTTTCATGGAGCAACATTGTCAGGAATGATGTGCAGTACTCATTGTGTTCTCTGTATCAGGTAGGCAGACAATACTTCTCTGTACATTAGTAAAAAGAATACTTTATCCTGAGTTCTCAGACAAAAAAACTAATTCCTAGTTTTAGGTACTTTAGGTACTTTTCAGGTAATGACAATTATATGGAAGAGAAATTGGCTAACAATATCAAAAGAAATACGAGGGGACAGATGTGTTGCTGTGTCTCTCAGGTTAGACTTGCCCTACCTGCTACCTGGTGCAAACACGTGACGGCATTAACGTGATGTGTGGCACTGCAACACCTGCCCCAAATCACCACCTCCTACATTCTGTAATGGCTGCTCAATCCACAGCACTGGGATTTCTAATGTACCATACTTCATCCTGAGGGCCAATTTATTATATGTCCAGAATCTAGGAAATCGTAACTTGGTGCAATCCTATATCTGAAACTTGCTTAAACCTTTCTCTTTTCTGGCTAAAACTGTGTTTCAAAGCATGTCAGCACCACATTCCTGCCAAGCTATAAAAGATCTAGCTTGGGTATTGAAAGCAGAGTAACTGGTCTGCTTCCTTTCTTCCTGTATAAAACACTGAGTATAGTAAAATAGGCGATCCCATACTGGTGGGTTTCTGTGTTTGGTGGTTTGTGGGTTTTTTCCTCTATAGAGCCTTACTTTGTGCCTAGGATGTTCTCATCTCAGGCTGAATGGATTATTTTGTGGAAGGTGGGATTGCCTATCAAATCCTTGCCTAATTTTGTTGTCAAAACTACGTGGTACAACTGTAATCATGTAGAACATGGATAAAAGCAAAAGAGTTTGAGGGTGAATGTAACTGCACCTTTGCCACGAGGATACTAGTTATTGTAGGTCAGCCACAATGCTACATTTAGTGCTGAGCACTTAGAGCTGATGGACAGGAGCAGCAGTGTTTTAAAGTGCTCAGTAGTGCTAATTACCTTAAAAAATTAGATACTGAATCTCTCACATGGAAGTCTGTAGGTACGCTTGAATTTGACACTTGTTCACATTTCCCCCCCCAGTTCTAGAATGATGGTGGTACTTAACTCAGAAGGCAGTGTCTGAAGAGCTTAAGACATCTGCGAGGAGCAACACAGAAAGGTTAGCAGATAGGCAGTTTTGTCAGTACAAAGTTTAAATACTCTGTAATACATGAGTGAATAGCCAAGGAGTCTACTTAAATTTTGAGTGGCTGCTTTTTCACAGAGTACTTCCCATTGTCAGTAAACTTTTAAAATGATGCTTAAAGTAGCTAAATAATATGAGTACATATATAGAAGGAGTAAATTAAACGTGCAGTAACTACTAACTTGCTAATTTTGAGACCTTGACCATAACACTAATTAATACCAAATGGGCTTGTACTAAACATTGCATTTATGTTGTAGTGGGAGCAGAGTGTCACAGGCAGGCTTGTGTAAAGTCTGTGTACATTGTTTCTTACTTGCTTTACATCTGGGCTAACTATTGCCTGGGTTGCAGAGGAAGGACACTGAGATGCTGTGAGGTAGGTAGGCATGTGCTGAACATCGTATTAGCAGGCAGTTCTTTCTAGAAAACAGGTGCATTCCTTGCAGAAGTAACTGATCAAAGGCACAAGAAAGTAGTTGCAGAATACAGCTACAGTATGGCTCTAAGTGACTTGCTGGGATTTCACAAGTCTTGACTCAATCTTGCCTTAAATGCCTTGCAGATAATCCTAGAGAACACTGCCTAACCTGGAAAAAAAATAAAATGTGTGTATAAAGTGTCAGTTTTGGAAAATACCTTTAAGATGGATGAGTTTTCAGGTCCAGTGAAATCAAACACTTCTAGAACTAATTAACAACTGTTCCTAAAAGTTTTTCATTGATGCAATTTATACATTCATCAAACTAATTTCTACCCCTTGAACATTTGTGCAAATTTACTTGATTCACACAATACAATAAGTAAAGCACGGTGATAGGCCTGAAAAAAAGAGTGGGGTTTTGTGTGTGTGTGTCCATAAACAATAATTCTGCAAGAATCGAGTGGTTACTTAGTTTAGCAATGAAGGAATGTACTTGAGTCACCAACAGTAGGCAATCTAAAGGCAAAAGATTTGAGAGCCATTAAGCCAAATATATAATACATGCTAAAGCTGTAAAAAGGGATTGTTTTCGTAACAACTTCTGAAGGAGCACATACAAATCTATATATTAAAACATCAACAATAATGAATTGATGCTTTCTTGCTGGAAGGATACCAAGAAATGAGATCCAGCAATGTCTCCATACACTACTGACTTTACAGTATTTTTTATTTTATCTGCACATTTGAACATATAAACAAAAATATCAATGAAACACATGTCCGCGAATCTGTAACATTCAGGCACCTCTGCTGCCATGGATCACATAAAGTACAGTCCTATTTTCAGCTAGTGCACAGTGGTACATTAGGTCAATTTGGTCTAATTTCTGGGGCTGTGCCCTTTACAAAGAAAATGCTGAAGGCAGTGATCTGTGATAAACAAATAGAAAAAGTGGTGGGTATTCTCATTTTCAAAATGAAAATGTCCTACAGGATATGTGTCTTTAAACAGCAGTCAAAGGACCAGGCTCTGATACGCAGTTGTTCTTCGCATGACTTGGGATACCTGTGTTGTCCCAGATGGAAATCACAGATGAAAGCATATCTGCTTTGGCTCTTGTTTTAAATGTGAATGCTTTTCTGATAAAAGTGAGTGAGGTTGAACTCTGTGAACTGCAACTCTTATTACTCAATAGGTGCTCTTAAAGAGTTTTCCATTATTTTGGATTTTTCTTCTTTTAATACCTTGTCCATGTCTTCACATGTTGAAAGAAATGATTAAAAATGACTTCATTTTAGCAGTTCAGTTTAATTAAGAAACTCTTACAATGTGTTTCAGTTTTGTTGAGTCTTTGGTGTTGTTTTGGCTGTCAATTAGAACCAGGGAGGTGCGCTGATGATTCTCTACTATTTCAGCAACACTGTCAAAGCGCTGGATAAAGAAAACAAAAAATAATTAGTGCTGGCTTCCTTTAATGCTTTTTTATCTTTTCTTCTCACATCACTGAAGAGGGTTAAGCTATGACTATTACCAAGTGAGATGCTCTGCCTTTTAAGAGCACTGATCCTGCTTTAATTCTGATTCCAGTCATTAAATTTGGACCGTGGAAGATATGGCCACTAGCTGTCTCATCCTTTCTGTTTTCCTGTCAGAACAGTTACCTGTGTGGTATAACAGCCAACCAGTGATTTTTTTCTAGAACTAGAGTTTAACATTTTTTAATGTGAAAACAGTATTAAAAGTAATGTCAGCCTCATTTTTGATCGTGTTTGGGGTTTCCTTGAGTATGGCTGTTGTTTTACAATTTTCCAAGAAACTTTTGGCTAGAGCCTTAGATACTAGGTAAATGGAAGACTATAAACAGTTATTTAGCAGCTGTAGCTCTGATCTTATTAACTTTTCAAAACTGTTCTACAAGTATGTTTTAAACTTGATCTGTAGTTTTAATTACAGTATGCAGGAGCTGACATTACACTGGTTTCTCTAGCTTGACAGATCAGTCATGATAAAGTCACATACTTTTATCTTGTTACATAAAGAATCTTAGTGCATTATATCTTAATCCTTTCTTATTAAAGGTATATAACTGAAAACTTGGGAAAAACACCCCCTCATCATCTCACCTCTTCACCGCTTTTTTCTCTGCCCAGTGCATATTGTCTTGTTGATTCAATAAATCGTATAGGAATGTTGTATACTCTTCTGTTGTAAAACACAACCAGTGTGTATGGTTGCTGTGAGTCCTGTCCAGAACTTTTTCTTATTAGAAAAGATCCATCCTGGAGAAAGAAAAGTAAATACTTGGCTTATTTTTTTCAAATAACTTAGTTTGGTTTTAACTTAATATTTTAATTTATATTGGTATTAAACTCTTTTCTCCTATCAGAAAGACTGTACAGCAGCAGATGAGAAGTAGCATGTATGCCTGCTGTCTAACAGTAGCATACAAAGGTGTCATTTAAGAATCACCTTTGCTGCTGCCTGTTCTCTCTCTCAACCAGAGAGGAAAAAAATACACAGTGGCAGCCATCTGTTGGGGTTTGCAGATTATTAGGAAATAAAGTGGCAGTAAGTAGGCAAGAAAGCAGTGAGAGGTGGAAATACTGTTTCTCCAGAGCTGTAAAAAGCACTCTCAAAGTCAAGCACCTGCACTGACACTGTAGCCCTGTGCTCACTAACGAGCAGTAGCCTACACTTGGTGATAAACCCTGTGCTCTGCCACTTCATCCTGCTTTGTGGAGAGGCAAGTATGGGAATCTATCTGATGCTGAGGATGAAACTCTCCATTCTACTGCTGCCTCCTGGGACAGTGGCTTTTGTACAAAGAATAGTTGAGAGAACTCAAATTCTCTAAGTTTGTAAATGCACAGTGTTGGTATTTCAAAATGCGTGGCAACCTCAGGTTGTCCAAATAGAAGCTGTTTTCACAGGAACCATTGGACAGTGGTGGAGGTCACTTAAAAGTCACAGGGCTTTGCATTTCTTTTAAGGGGTGCTTGTGAGCTATCAGGTCTTCCTCAGCTCTCCAGTCTGTAACAGCTTTCTCCACAGGGCTCCCGTTACTGAGTTACACTAATGCAACTTTGTCTTGTGATGAAACCACAGTTAGTTTCACCACAATAATTTCAGGTTTGATATTTGACAGTACTTGCATGGCACAGTACTCTGACTTATTCAGAATACAAGGCATGTTCTTAGAACATTTTTGATTGTCTTTTGATTTTTTTAATTGGAATTTTTTTTCCCATGAACCAGACTTTTTTTATAGGTGACCTACCCTGTTTGATCGGTACAATGCATCTTCTGCCATTTTCCTATCACAGGTAGCAGCATACCATGCTTTACTGTGAACACCAGCATCCTAGAAGAGAGAAACAGTGTTTTACCTGTAAAATAATAATGATAATGAATATGCCCTGTAGGGGAGTTACTACTAAATAATGACAGCTGGGAAGAACTAAAATTCAGAAAACAGAGTTGAGAAAAGTCTTTGCCATGAGCTCACTGTTTTAGTTGGATAGAGATAGGACAAAGAAAATCTGGAGTGTCAAAACAGGGGTAAGAGATGTATGATAGAAGGCTGATAAATGACGAAAGAGGGGATACCCTGAGGAAAGCAGTCAGGTTCAACTGGAGGATAGTTTGGTATTTTTAAAGAAGGAAGCTATTCTAGTCGAATTTCAAGAGGGTATCCAAGAAATGTAGAGGAATAAATACACTGTTAACAATTTAAATGCTGCTCAGCTGTGGGCTAGCTAAGGAGGTGTTTCGATTTGGTAGGCATCTTTGGAAATTATTTTTCCTGAATACTTAATGCTATTTGTGAACACAATTATGATTGTCTCTACCTGGGTATCATGAAGGTGGATAAGTGCATATTTTGCTCTTTTTCTTGTTATTAAGTAAGGACAAATGAATGGAGTCCTTACAAAACTTAGCAATAATTAATGTCTTTCCTCTAATAGCACAGCAATTCAGCCCACAGTGCTTTCACCCAAGACATGGATTCACTTCTGGTTCTCTGTTGGATTGAGTCTGAATGTATCCTTACATTTGAAGCAGTGCTCTTATCTAAAAGGCATAAAACTATGCTTACCTGTGAAGAACCATTATATCTGTGACCAAACAGAGAGCAGCTTATATTTTATAACATATTTCTTGGGTCCCTCATTTCTGTATGTTAACCTCTGTAAACATCTCACCAACATTATCCACCTTCTCTCCATTCTGTTAAATGTTTGGCAGTGTGCTGTACAGCAAGTGAACTTAAACCTATTCTTCCAGTGGGAAACATGGGACAAAGGACAAACAAGGATGGGATAACAGGTGCAGACCTAAAGGTACATGGTAGAAAGACTGACACCCTAAAAATTTGTGGATTCTATTTTAGAAGATAGAACCTCTCATAGCAAAGGAAGTACAAAGATAAAAAGATGTGAGGAGGGGATGGTAGTTGGGAGTGGTATATATATGGGAGAGTATAATTTGAGTGAGAGAAGTAATGGTAGAAAACTGGGTAGTAAAATGCAGGAATGAGCATATATCTGGGGAACAGGAGTGGAGTGTAGGGGAAAGGTACGGAGGATTTTGGAGAATTTTGAAAAGGAAGGACAGGATGAGGGATTAGAAGCAACATGAGGCCTATGCATTATCAGACTTCAATAGCTAGGTAGGTTATCAAACCAGCAGTCATGAAAAGTGAGCTCTTGCTGAGGAGGTTGATGTAAAATCTAACTCTTAAGTGAGTGGAAAGGCTATAGAGATAGTGCTAAGAGTATTTCCTAATGAATACATCTGGGTATTAACCTTTCTAGTTATTTGAACAATTTTGCTCCAACTTTACAGTAACAAGCTTAATGAGAAAATTAATTTTCACACAAGCTTTATTACCTCTGTACAAAACAGATGAAAGCTGAAGTTGCACATTAAGGCTGAGCTGGTCTAGCTGGATTATTGCTGCCAAAAAGAGAATGTCTTGGCTTCTCCTTTGTGCTCATTTTGTTGCTCTTCTGATCCCATGGTGAGATAATTCACTTTATTAATTTTGCAGGAAAAGAAAATAATATCTGTTTCCCTTTTTGTTTTGCCTTGTTTTGTGTTTGACTGCCAGGTTCATTTTCTGGCAGTTTAATGACTTGGGTCAGCCCACTGCAGGATCAGAAAGGAACACCAGAGAAGTCTGTGGCTGGGAGGGGAGTTGACACTAGGAGAGAGCATTGCACTAAATTCTTAGACTGGCTCAAGCCATAACATATAACTTTATCTTCAGAGTTCTCCCATGTATTTCTTCAGTTACACTATTCATTGGGAAAAGAAAGGATGAGAAGAATTGCAAGTATGAAAGGTACTTATCCATGTAGAGAATGAGTCCAGCAGACAAATATTTTGTTCAACAAAACAAGGAGTCAAATGCCCCAGACTTTTCTGCTACAACTATCTGTGGCCTATAATGAAGCAGCAGAAGCTGCTGTCAAAGTTTGGATGGGAACCAAACAAATACTGAGCCTTATGGGAATGAATGATATCTGTGAGCACCTGTATTGTGCAGGATGCTACAGCAAATTATACTATTGTACATAATTAGTGGAAAAATAACACTAATGGTTAATATTTTTTTTTTTTTTTACAAAATGGACGTTTTATTAAGCTTTGGGTTTGCCCATGGCTGTTACTTAAAAACTACAAATGTAATTGCTACAAGCTGTTTTATTTAGAGTCTGCTGGATTGTTTATTTGAAAGTTATTTTAATAATAAATATCCAGTATGACATACAGTTAAAATTTTTCCAGAACTTGAAATTCTTTGTGTTCTTCACTGTCGAAATATCTTTGTCAAGTCAGGCTTTAAAACATTGAATGTCACTGGCTGTGCATGATAAAGCCTTTGTTTTACTCTCACCAGAACTATTTTTACCTTGTTTGTGACTACTAAGCTAGTATACGAATGACTTGCTCCATTTTGTAGTCTCCCTTCATGCAAAATAAGAGTAAGGGAAATAGTACTGAAATGAAAATAACTTTGCACTTGCTTAGATGATTCAAAGATTAATGTTGAAACAAAACACGTAAAAGAAGAATTGGCCATAAAAGTGACAGCATTAACTGTAATGAGATCTGTTTAAAGGAACTGAAAGGAGTAGGTCTTGGGAGAGACTGAAACAAATGGGGGGGAGGTATCCTATGCTAAATGTTGTAAGCATTTTTATAATGCAAGTTAACATTCAGATTTTTTTGCACTACAGAAAATCCTCACTGCAAAAGGGGACATAAATGCCCTCCACAAAAGGAGTGTCATTTTTATTTTGAAGGAGAGTAGGGATGGAAATACTGTTTTAAAATGAAGGGTAAGAAGATTTCTGTGATATGAACGAGCTAATGTTATACCTGATCCGCAGAACTTGCAATAGATGAAGTGCTGCTTTGAGGGGAAGTGCCCAGAGAACGGTTTGCAGCTTCCGGCACTTCTAGAAAAGAGAAAGAACAACATGTGTAAGTTTTCAAAGTATGTTTGTTACAATGTAAGAAATTGATTTGTTACCAGATCTGGAAACGCTTGACCTTTGATATCACTCAGGAAAGCTGTCTGCTGTAAATGGATGGGTCCTATATAAGTGCTGTGACACTTGCCTGCCCAGAAGAGTAGCCTTACTTATGAAGAGAAAACCAGTTTGGTTAACAGTTTGGTTAATAGCCAGATCTAGACTTAGGGTACAAGAAAAAACTCCAGCACCACCCAAGTGAACGAATGTAGCAATAGATAAGAAAATGCAGGAACACAGTGCAAATAGCATTCAGTCCAGTGTGAGAAGTAGTCATATAGGTGAGGGAGCTGGGAAAATGAATGTAGCTCAGAGATAATTTTTCACTAATTTAGTCCAACTGAATTGTTTGTATGCATGTGCAAGAAGCCCAGGCTGCTAAATAGAGAAGTAGAATTAGTAGGAAAGATTATGAAGCTTAATTATAATTGTAATAACAAAGCAACGTGGAAAATAGTTATTAGGGCTAAAATACAGATGTCAGAGTTTAGGAAATCAGGAGCCAAATGTTTGAGTAGCGTTGCTTAGTAATATGAGAGAAATACGGGATATAAATATAGATAATTGTTTTTGGGTAAAACAGAATCTTGGTCCAAGAGTATAAGTGTCTGCTACAGGTACTTCTGATCAGAGTTTAGTGCAGATCAATGTGCTAGAGAAGATGATTGTAGAAAGTTAAGTGTTACTTATTTTGTTATTATGGGAAGCTTTATTTCCTATGTGTTTTACTTACTGGGAAAAACAAATGCCACTAGGATTGTTAGCACTCACCTATTACTAGACATGATGCTCTGCAGACTGCATTATCAAATCTTCACTAATATAATTCTGACATAGATTTCAGTTTAGAAAGGAATAAGAATGTTATAGATGAGCCCATATAGTGACCAGAGTTAAAAAATTCAATTGGACTGGAGAGCTCAGAGACAGCTGTGTGAAATAGGTATAAAACTTCTATTGCAGATGCAGCTGTCTGGAAGCTGCATTTCAAGTAGAGGGGAGACATTGTAAGGAGCAGTTCCAGCTCTCAATGATTTAGAAAACACTTGAAGAAGGATATTCAATATTAAGAATTCTGGGGTTTTCTCTAAAGTTTTGACTGGCCAGCTGCAAAAGCTACCATTGAAAAGTAGATTGTATGAATAAAGTAAGAATTGCCAGAAGTCAGCCCAAATTAGACTTGACAAAAGGACATTGAAATAAGTAATAAAAGATTCCTCAGCTGTGTGAAAAAGGAGAGATGGGGCTTTATGCAGTAACAATTTTATTGATTTTAAAGGTAATCTAGGTACTAAACAAATAGTAGTTCTGATACAGAAATGGAAATTTCCACAACCAAACTGGAAGCAAAGCTTAAATAACTTAGTACAATTGAACTGATGGGCCCACATAATCTTTACCCCAGAAATTTCAAAAACTGGCACATGAAATTCAGGGGTGGTAACAGTAATTTTAAATAATTTTCAAGTCAGGATGGTACCATATGATTCAAGGATACCAAACATAAGTGCTGTATCTAAAAATGGAAAAAGTGAGCTGAGCATCTACAGGCCTTTCTGTCTGATTCCACAGAACAAGGCCCCAGGAGAGAATCTGAAGGAAATAACATTAAGATTTGGAGATAAAGATACAACTAGCAAAAAATCAGACACAATCTGAAACTTACCCAAATAGATAAAATGTTACGCCTCTTTCATAAAATAACAGTTCTACAGAGAGGGAATATGAACACTGTACTTAATCTGGACTTCAGTGGAGCACCCGATACAGTGCCATATGGGAAATAAGGACTTTCAGTAAAGAAGATGAAAGTTAGCTCGAGGCTTGTATGGGGACAAAGGAAAGATGACAGGTTATGGTGAAGGGACATTAGTGATTAGGAACCAGCTGTACGTGTGACAAAGTTGTTGTTGGACCTGACACAGAAGATTATGTTAAAGAAAGTTTACTAATCAGAGCACCGTTTAGCACCAGATGATCTCAAAAAATAGTTACACTTCAGAGAGTAGTAAGAATTTATGATTTAAGTTGAAGCACATCAGTTGTGTGACAGGAGCAGACAAACTTAAGAGCATCAGACAATTTCATTAAGGTGAACCATTATTATACTTCCTCAGCATAGATATAATATGCAACATACATCAGGCAAACATTTCCAGGAAACAGATGCACTAACAGCAGCATATAAGTTTAAGCTACACCAAATGCAGATTTCTGTGTGCAATTCTTACCATTTATTTACAGTGTGAAAGATACATTGAGGCTGAACATGTGGAGAAAAGGGCTTATAGGAAGGTCAGACAAGTGTCTGCTAACAAGAGACTAGAAAAATGCTAAATCTAATTTACACTTCTGTGCAAAGCAAGTTAGTAAACATATTACCTAATTTGTTTTTAACTCTGAACTAAAACAAAGTCCCTCTTGGAAAACATTACTTACAGAAGAGCTTTAGCATTTGCCATTATAAAAATACTTCCCCCCTGCCTCCTGCAGAGAAAGAATAAATTGGAGGCAATAATAATCTGTCTGTCTTCTAGGCAACAGAAGCCTGGAATAGCCCAGAAATGTCATATTCAGGATTCTTTTGTGGCAAGGAAGATTGATGGAATCTTTATTATGATGGGAAATGGCCCAAACTGCCTTTAGTAGAAATTTCCAGTAGTCATAAATGGAAATGAAACACCCAATTTCCATCAATTACCCTGACATACTCCCTTAATTTTACTAGTTGAACTAAGACCCTGGATACTTGATCTCCTCTTTGTATGCATTACAGATACATTAATTCCAAAGCAATTAATATGCATGGCATATTGAAATAATCTTAAGTCAAAGATTAATTTGAAATTACAAGTCAGTCACATTTTAATTCAAAAACTGAATTATACTTACTTGGCAGAATTGAGAACTTTTGGAGCAGAGGCCTGAAATAAATATCAAGAGATTACAGAAAGGTCTGAGGGGATCTACCCTGTTCTGATATTATGAAAATTGTGTTTTTTAAGCATGCAGTGATAGAATGTGTTCCATCTTATCCATCTGTCCATTGAGAAATTAAGGGTCTGATATAGGTATTTAAAAAAATGATATCCCACTAGTACTGAAAACTAGGAATTTAAACCTGGTTTAAATCTCCATTACCTTCCTTATGAGAGATTATATCCTCCCATGCTTTTTGGTGATGGTTATAGTATTTGGATGCATTCATTTGCTACGCTTTACTTTTTTGCTACTGTGAGGCTTCAGGAACCACAACTCTCAAAAAGCAACAGAAGGCTACAGTGAAAAACAGTGCTTCTCTTTGAACCTCTCATAGCTGTGTTCAGAACAAGCAGTAGGTGCTGGTGCACTGAAATATTCAAAACATGATGGAAAGGGATCTTACTTCTGTGCACCACTTGGAAGGGGTGGAAGTGGAAGCTCTTGGTTGGAACTTCGTCGTCGTTCTGCTGCTGTAGGTTTTTCTGTGGTTTGGTAAAACAAACGTTAGGGTCAGGATTTCTTCAGAAACATACTGTCTTCAGATAAGAGAGTCCCAGCAGTTGAAGCTTCTTTTACTACAACTTTTGGGATTTTTCCTTACATGGCAGTTTGCCATCGTGCTACTTTGTTAACTAGTGGCATACCACCAAATTTGTAGGCAAATAGCTGTGCTGTGGGCGCCTGCAGGGTCGCAGTGGGAGACTTTCCTTCCGAGAGGCGAGCTGTGTGACACAGGGGGAGGACGCTGGGGCAGGCTGCCTGCAAGAGCTCGGCTGGTTGGCTGCATCTCACCCTGGTGTCAGACAGCAGCTCCTGCTGAGCTTTCGCCTGGAGGAGCAGAGATGGGATGCATTTTGTGCCTGTGCCAGGAGTCGGCTCCGTGTGCGGTGGTTCTGGCTGAGTTCTGAGTGACTCGCCTCCCTTCCCTCCTTGCCACTCAGAGGGCTATATGGCACATTGCTGGTCCATTATTGTCCTGCATTACCCTGCCAGTAACCTCAATTGTTTTACTGTGACTGACTTTAGAGAACAATGATATTCAGTGCAGCTAAGGCTGGCCAGATCCAGTCTGAAACGGCTAAAACCAAACACCCCTCAAAAAACCAGAATAAGTTGAATGTGGTGTTATTTGTTTCATGTTTCTAATAAGAAAGAAATTTAATTCTGATAAATGTCAACTTTTCCACGGTAGTGGAGATAATTTACCTTCATTTGCAGTTAAGATCTCTCTGGAAGGTAAACATGGTTTCTGCAATAAAACAGAAGGACACCAAGTATTAAATGGCATGTCACCAGTACAGCAAATGTATATATTTTTATACTTTGTGTGAACTAGTTTACATTTAGACTTGACAATATCCTGGAGGAATTAGAAAGCAGAGACAGCCATTCTCTGAAGAGCCTCTTAATTGTACAACCTTGAAGCTCAGGATTTTGCAAGATAGATTTGGACAGAATCCCAGTTTGTGGGTATAAATAGACAGACAAAGTAAAATCTGGAGACGTGGGTTTTTTTTTTTAACCTTCCATTGGTAAGTTTATGGTGTAACAAATGATTCATTCTTATCTCAGGCCCAAAAATGAAGAGTCTATTCCAAATACTTGTGAATCAAAATTTCATTTTCACCCTTATTGAGCTATGCTCACAAATGTCTGAACAGATTTCTTTTTACTGAAAGTTAAAACTGCCAGTTTAGCTCATAGTAAAAACTTAACCCACCTTCCAGTTTCATTTTTTTTTTTTTAAATTTTGAAGCAATGATAATAAACTGCCAGTTTTGAAACATTTTCCAAATTAATTTGTCTGAAAATTTTAACCAGTCCCCTTACTTTCTCTCACACGAGATTTTGGAATATTTTTCTAATGATGAAATATTTACTGAAAAACCTCTAACAAATTTGGTACAATCCCACATGTTTCTTGACCTGTCACTCTTACAGTGAACTCATGTTCCCCATAGGCAGCCCCGTATATTTCCAGGAATACTTCTGAATGGCCTGTGTTCCCATTTATTTCTCATTTTTTCAGCTCTTGCTCTGTATTTATTGTTACATCCTAAAGTATTGAATCCAAACATCCCTTTAATGAAAATACTTTTCCACTTCAGCTTTCTCACTGCTCTTAGTTTATGTAATGGCACCAGATATTTCCTTTCTTTATAACTCTCTCCCCCCTTGTCTTTTTAGGCATTTAAGTTGTACCCAAGCTTATGATAAAATTAGGTTTTACAGTACATTAAAAACTTAATAAAATTATAAAATTGTGCAATTACAAGTCAACTTACTGGTGAATTTATCATATTAGAAGTTTTCTTGCTGAAAGTTGGAGGGAAAAGAAAACAAAAGAGTATGGTTACTTGGCAGATACATGAATTCATTTAGCGATTAAGCATCGGTTTCATTGATTCTCAAAGTGATTGTGTCTAAGATGGGATGCACTGGATAGCTATAGGAGTTAGAAACAAAAAGAATAAGAAAAGAATTAGGATATCAGATGTAATGTGGGTATTTGGGAAAGGTACTTATGCAAGGAAGCTACACTCTGTCCAATACTTAAGATGACAACTTGGGTGGGGCTGAAGAACTTTAATGAAAAACACAGCTAGGCTTGCATATGCTAGTGCTGCAGTATGAGATTAAATTAAGCAAGCCAGCATCTGCCATAAGTGGCAGGCAGTGAAGGGCTACTCCACACAAACAGTATTCCTCTGGAAATAGCAAAATATTAGCTCACCTTTCCCTAGTTAGGATATCTGTCTCAAACAGCAATAAAAGTTATTCCTGAATTCCAACTGCCATAGCAAGGATGGGAGTTAGCTCCTAATATACCTATTAAATCACTCCCCATCAAAGTAGTTTTATTATTTTTACTCACAGGCCCCTTGGTAATGGAGATGGAGCTGCTCCAGTGGCAAATCTGGATTCTTGTGTGTTATTGAATCTCTGACCTAGAGATGCAAGCAACATGTTAAGTATGCAATGTGAGCTGTATCTGAACAGTGGATTCTCCTCACTCCCATTTTAGTGTTAATGTAATAAAAGTAAAAAATATCCATTGGTTTTTGTCTTAATATATTTTCACCCTGATTATATCAGAAAACAGTTCAGTAACACTTCTCGCTTGTTGCTCACCATTACAGATAACATTTACAGTGACACACTGCACTGCAATCTGTGTTAAGGTCACTTGTGGCATATCAATCCCTCTCATATTGCCATGTTTTCAATATGGAATACTTACTTTCATCATTATTGTTTGCTTCATGGTCCTGTAATGGAAAAATAGGTTAGATTTGATGTGAAGGAACTAAAAAAGGAATTACTGTGTTCAGTTTGGGGTCCTTCACTACAAGAAGGACACTGAGGTGCTGGAACGTGTCCAGAGAAGGGCAACAAAACTGGTGGAGGATCTGGAACACAAGTCTTACAAAGAGTGGCTGAGGGAGCTGGGGGTATTTAGTTTGGAGAAAAGGAGGCCTGGGTGAACCTTATCACTCTCTACAACTACCTGAAAGGAGGCTGTAGCCAGCTGGGAATCGGTCTGCTCTCCCAGGTAACAAGCGACAGGACAAGGCGAAATGACCTCAGGTTGCACCAGGGGAGGTTTAGACCAGATACTAGAAAAAATTTCTTCACTGAAAGGGTGGTCAGGCATTGGAACAGGCTGCCCAGGAAAATGGGGGAGCTACCATCTCTGGAAGTGTTCAAAAGGTGCATGGATGTGGCACTTGGGGATATTGTTTAGTGGTGAACCCAGTGGGGCTGAGTTAATAGCTGGACTCAATCTTTGAGGTCTTTTCCAACCTTAATGATTCTTTAATGAGAAGTGCATAAATAATCAATATGGCTTTGGTATCTGTAGTAATTTTTAAAGAAATATTTGTACAGAATGCATATAGGATCCATAATATTTTTAATCAGCTTTTAGGATTTAATTTGAAAATTTTTAAGCAAACATCAAACTTTCTAATAATCCTGAGATTGCTTGCAGTATTGAGAAAATTAGGCCTGAATTTTGCAGTGAGACCATTAGGTTCACATTTAATTTCTGAGCTGGAAGACAGAAATTTTGCAGCAGATCTGAATATCCTAAAAACACATCTTCCACTGAATGAAGGAAATTGAGTAAACTGTGTTTACACCAGGCTAGAATTGAAGTGATCCACCTCATTCCCTGGCTTCTTCTGGAGATGCTTACTTTTGCCCTCATTTCTTGTCTTTTAGGGAATCAGACTCCCATATGGTAAGTACCTTTCAAAGAGGCACCAGTTATTAATTTGTCCATCTTCATCTTCCCGGTTAATGGCTTTTCACTAATGTTGGTCAAATGCATCCATTCTCTGGTTGGAGAGGTGTAATCCATCATCCAACAGTTGGGGAAGTGAAACGTGGAGAAATTATTTTCAGTCAGCCAAGGCCTTTGAGAGGAACAAGGGTTACAATTCTGTGCACATGATCAGTGCTGGTTGGTGTTGACAGTGGATTGAATGGGAGCAGTTAACAGATGTTTCAGTTATTGTTTGCTTTGTCAGTGTGCATAGTCAGGGATGGGAAAGCACAACACAGCATTTGACAAACATCATGCTCATTACCATGGTTTTGTTTAAATCTGTAAGGGTTGACCACTTACACAACAAGCAAAGACCCCAAAATTTGGACTACACTGAGTAACTCTTTCCTAGGCTGACTCTTGTGGCAAATTGGCTAACTGCAGTGACACAGGAGCTGAATACATCCATGGTACAGAGGAGTGTGTGTTTGGGAGCTTCAGCCTTGGAGCTGTAACTAACTCGGTATGTGGCTCCAGCAAACTCCTTTTGCTCTCTGCAAAGCTGGGGTGATATCCATCTCACAGCTAAGCTCTGACAACACATTAATGGAGAGGTTTCTGCTGCAATATGGCACTCCAGTCTGTTCTGAAGCAGGAGTAGTATTCTTAGTGCTGCTCAGATAGTGGAATTTCTGTCCAACACTGTCCCTTCAGAAGCATTTTTTCCTAATCTTGTATTGGTAAGAAAAGCTGAGAAACTGTTCTGTAGAAGAGAAATCTCAAACTTGGCAAAACTTGGGAATTGTTCAGCATCCCATGGGATATAGATCTAAATGGGAAGAACTTTCTGGTGGGGTGGAACGGAAACTAAATTGCTGATACTGCTGTATGTACAAAATACTTGGTGTATATATAGAAATTGAAAATAAGACTCATATACCACCTGCACTGTTACCGTAACATCTAATCCTATTATAGGACCCCAAATTCCTAATTTTGAGTGTCTAATTTCTCTATGTATCTATTGGTAGACTGATTATTTCTTAGGGGTAACTCAGAGCCTGGGGCCAGGATGCAGTTTGATGCACATGGCTTTTGGCACAGATAGTGATGCAGTTACTGTCACCCTGTTTCTTGATAGCTGGCTCCTCATTCACACTCTCTTGTGCTGGAACAACTGTGAGTAGAGCTATGGTGCAAAACAATTTAGGTAACTAATCTGGCTGAAAAAGAATCTTTTGTGCATTTGCTTTTGCTCATTTCTGCAGTTAGACAAGTTTCCAAGTAGTTTGCTTCAAAAAACCTTTGTTTCAGCACAGTGGAAGGGACAGACTGGGGACAAGAGTAGAGGGAGAACAGAATTGACTGAAACACAGCCTTAGGAACCCAAAGCTTATAATTAGCCCTTCATGGACTACATTTTCTAGTGATACTGGTTACTCAGACTACCCAGTCTGACATTTTAGAACATTTCCATTTTCAGAAAGCATTAATCATTCATCATCTGAGAGGAATGAGGCTCAAGAAAGGTACTTCAGACTGGGCAAAATTACCCTTTGCTACTTAATGTTCCTGGTGTTCAACTGGTATTTTGTAATCCAAGAAATTATTTTTGTGGACTGAGAAATATAACCCTTAAAACATTTAAACTTTTTCTTGGATCAATACAGATGTCCAATGCTCTTTTGTCCAAAAGATTGATAGCAACAATTACAATATTAGATGAATCTGACACTGAGTCATATGTTTCTGTTACTTAATCCAGATAATAAAAAGCATCCATATATATAAAACACAACCCAAGTTTAACACATTCTTTTATAGTGGCCCATTGATTACTCACTGTTTTTGGATGAAAACGACTTCTGGGAAGAGGCAAAATATTTCTGAAAAACATACAAAATAAAACTGAGTAGGATTTATTTGTGTAATTTCTTGGCTCAGATATGCTTTTCAAGATCTAGAGAGAAGGAGTTCTCCTGTGAATGGATTTAATTCCACCTATGCAGCGCTGCAGTGGCTGTGGTGATGCTGTGCTCTTGGTGTGGAACTACTCCAGAATAGCTTCTGTCCTGGACCTCAGGTCCCCTGTGACTGTGCAGGACCTCACCAACCATCATAACACACACAGCGTTGTAGAGGCCACCTGGGGCACATGGCCTGTTTTGTAAAGCAATGTCCTAGAGATGAACTGGTTATGCAGCAGCTTCCTACACTTCTGGGGACACAGGAGTGAAGTAGGCTGCACGCTCAAGTGTCCTTTTCCTCTTTTCCTCCAGAGGCTTGGAATACAAATTGTGGATTTATTGTGTCCAGTTTCTTTACAAGCAATCCTTTGCCTCTGCAAAAACACTGCATTTGCAAGGGTGCAGAGATGGCTAACAGGACTTTAAACTGGCTTGCAGAGATATTTCATTCCTGCACTGGATACCTAAAGGGATATTCCAGAAAACACTTACTCATTTGGCAAACTGGCTTCACTACAGAAGTTCACAAGGAAACCAGAGCTTTCAGTTCTCACCTTGTCCCAGTGAGTGTCCTGACAACTGTTTGTTGTCAGAAGGCTACACACTAGAGAGGAGAAAATCTTCTCTCTGCTAATATTTCCTATTGATCTAAGAATGCTGACTTACCTGCACGTCTCCTGTTTCGGTGGCTCTCTGGTCATATTGTGCATGTGGGAGTGCTCCGTATTCTGAGCAGGCATAGACAGAAGTGGCTTAGTGAACCTAGTAATAAAACATGCATTAAGGAAGGAAAATTATATTTAAAAACTGTGAATACAAAGAAAACCTCTCTTTCTTCTCCTCTACCCCTCAAAATTCTACAACATACCCTTAAGAGATATTTCTTTTTAATATGTTGTGCTTGGGTTTTTGAAATTAACATAGAAACGGCTGATAATCTCTGTGCAGATAATCTGAAGAGATATTTACTACATATATATCTTCCAGAAAAAGAATTATCAAACATGTTGTAGCTAGATAAGAAAATACATTTTCGGACAAGTTTTAAATAATGCACAAACATTCACAGCAACGGGTTACCTGGTTACTGGTGGTGGTGGTGGTTTTTCCTGTAAGAGAAAATGCATTGAATTTTTTGGTCACTTTTTGATTTCATGAAATACATTTGTATGATTCTATTTATGTTACCACATCAAGATATTATTTTTGCATTGTGGTATGGATTTCTATTAGAGCCCTCTCTGGTAATCTGCACTAGCATGGGAGAGGCAAGAACTCAACATCAGTAAATCTGCTTTGACCATGTCATGTCAGTACCAGCAAGTGGGAAAAAAATTACTGTGTCAGGACTGTCATTGCTCCTCTGCTGCAGTTCTGCTTCTGAAAAGCATTCCTTTAGGCTGCTGCTTCCCAGACTGGATAACTATCACACAGGACTGGGAAATTTCCACCCCTTCCCATTTACTCTGTTCTGCAGACCTTTAGAATTGGTCTGCCAGCTTTTCTGAGAAGGGAGTGTCAGAAAGTCTTAAGTGCAGACAGAGATTTGTTCCTATTTGTCCCCTTGAAAGACTGATAATATTTTTTCCACAATCACATTTGTACCCTGCCTGAGGGCAATGCAAGTCATACTATAGAAAGGCCTCACCTCTTCTTCAGGAACCTCGTAGACTTCTGTAGGACCAGGAGGGAAAAAAAAAAAACAAGTGTTCTTTGGTTAGCAAAAAACATACTGCATGTTACCAGAAAAACTGATCTGTTTTGTATCAGTTGTACTTATGACTCTGGAAAAATAACTTGGAGAATGTGCTCAGAACTTGATTCTGCCTCCAAAAATCTGGAGTAGCAAAACCCCCAGTCTTCTAGTGGAAACTTCAGGAAATGTCCCAGGAATTCTAATAAACAGTGACTGTATTAATGAACTTTCCACCCACCCCACCTCTTTTTTTAGTTTTGCTTTTCTTTCCTTTTCCCCCCAAAGCAAGAGAAACGCTTGTGTTGTGCAAATGAAGGACAGTTTGGAAAAAATGTGTTATCGCACCTGTGCTAGCATTTAGCCTTTCCTCGACTCTCTGGGAGGAAGAGATTAGGTGAATCATAAATACAAGCTGGTGCATTTGTGTGGCCAGCATCCATCCTGGAGCTCTGACACTGTCACAGGTATGTTTTAATTCATACATGTTAAGAACAAAACCCACAAGCATTCTTATCTATGTCCAGTTTCTTCAATGAAAATAGAACCCTATTTCAAAAAATTTCACATCAGTCTTCCTCACTTTGCTGCGCTGAAGTGTTCGAGTTCCCACCAGGGGGAGATGTTTTATTTTTCAGTAACGTCTGTCAGGAGCTGGTTGTTGCTCGACACTGATGTACAGAAAGGCTGAGATTGAAAAGGGCATTTTAAAATGGCTGGAAAGTGACTCACAAAATCTAAAGTCATTCAGAAAAAAATTTAGTTTATGACCTGTAGTTTGTGACTTGAAAGCTAAACATATCACTAATGAATATGCAAAGCTTTTTAAAGATCTGTGGTAAGTCTGTAAAGGTTACATTCTAAGCAATTAATGGGATAATGAGGATACAAAACAACTCTGAGTTGTCACTGGAAGATTAAACAAGTATATCTGCACTTACAAAAGGAAATAGGATTCCTCTTATTTGCTTCTGCTTTTGAGTTTTTTTCCAAATAAATTGCTCTTTATAGAACTTAAATGGGAACACTTATCAAAGGACATGCAAAACATCAGCCTATAAGGAATTTCTATATGGTTAAACTCTGATGTGGTCTTAAAGTATTGAGTATTAATTCCTATAATGAAATAGGATTGCTAAGATACCAAGTCCTCTAATTGTTTTTGCAGTAGAGCAAAAGACTAAAAATTAATTAATTTGGGCAAGGAAGTTGCTCTGAGTTTTATTCATGCTTAAAATGGATTTACTATTCAATCTAGACAAAATAACTGTCCAAGCAACACAAAAAAACTGAAGAACATATTAAGATTTTACTGAAGTATGTCATAAGGTTTGTGTTGTGAATATGTTAAGTGTAATTTAATATTCTTCAGTCTTAGATTATTTTATTTTAACAGTGATACAAACTCCACATACCTTGCATATCAGAAGCAAGAGAAGGCTTTGGAGAAGTAGGGGGGCCTGGCTTTGTTGTCTTCATAAATCTGTTCCCAGGAGCTAAAAACATATTTTATTCATGTACATACATACCCGTGCATGTGTGTGTATATACATATATATTTAGGTATGTGTACACATCTATTTATATATAAAAATACGTATATAAATATATTAAAATATATATGTTTACAAACTAACAAGGGAACATTTATACAATAAGAATGAATATTAAGTAGGTCTAAGTGGTAGCCTTTTTGTGTGACCTTGAATAAATCAACCAAGTCAGAAAGCAGCTCTTAGTTTAAAAGGAAAACATTACTCAGTGTTCATGCCTTCCTGAATAGGTTTGATACTGTCAGTGATGTCAGAGAGCAGAACTACATAGCCTTCTCTGTTTGCTTTTCACCTTTGGGCTGTAGTAATTTCACCCTCCAGCTAAATATACTTCAAATAGTGAGATTAAAAACAAAATAAAAAATACAATCAAACCCTGTCTTTATCTGAAATATTCAAAAATATTTGTTTTTCTCCTGAGGCACTTCAGTAAACAGAGAATTTTAATGCTGTAGCTCCCTTGGATGAGAAGGGATATCACATGCCTGGTTGTACAAAGGCTGGACTTGGAAATAACAGAGAGGCAGAAATTAAACATGGCTTCCAATAAGGTTAAAAATAATAAAGTTAAAAATAATTTTCCTTGGCCTGGTCATGAGCCAAATGCCTTTTTACAGGCTGTGTTTTCTCTAATAGCTGCATCTCCACTCTTTGAACCCTAGAATGAGACATTAACTTGATCGATTTTTTTCCCACTGTTGTTCCTAATAACACAGTAATTATTAGCTTAAATGACCAAAACTTACATTTTGTAGGTAGTGACATGCTGCTTTCTGTGGGTTCAATATAGTTATCGTCATCATTGTCCACTGGCACAATGTAATTATCCTATGAGAAATGCAGGACAAAAATCTACCAGTTAAACCTCCATCATAGCAACAAACTGTTGGGATTGAAGCTCTGCAGTAGTTTACGATAGTTGTCATTTCACAGTGACTGCTGTTTCGGACATTTATCATCCGATGTTGATGGGATTCCCAAAGACTGAAAGCCCTTTACCAAATAATTCCAGTTCTAGACTGGTGGATGAAAGCCCTCCCTTCCCTTTGGTCCTGGAGTAGTCTTTGAAGTTACTGTCTCCCCACTGCCAGCAGCTTGTTATGGATAATCAGAAGCTACTTTGTGGTCTAAAGAGTTTTCTTGATACTCAGAGTAGGCAGATATCCTCTAGGAATCAGTATGGTACTCACAGGTCATTGTGATGTACAAAGTGATTTTCCATGGAGGCTAAGAAAGAGGCCAGGTCATGGCATTGCTCTGATCTGTCTTACTGGTCTGGGGTCATCAGACATTTAAACAGTCAAAACAAGTATATATGTAAACTTTACCTCATCATCACTACACTCCTTAGGCTTTGGTGGTACTTTTGGTTTTGCAGCAGGAGATGGCAGTGGCAGGGACGGCACACATGGTTTCTTTGGTCTGGACATGGCTGGACTGGGTGTACTTGGAAGAGGTTTGTTGATGGGAGGAAGCTGCTGGTGACCGGTGCGATTGTCTTTTAACGTGGAAAAAACCAACAATTTTAGCAAAAATTACACATTAGCCTCTGCACTGTCTTCTACTACCTGTGCAAACAAGTCTTTGCTTGTGGCTGTAGCTCAGGTCAAAAGGCAGACCTGAGCATAGCTGGTCCTGGTGTCAAGACTTGTGTGTAAACTGGTCCTGTTTCATTGCTCAGGGTGGCAACCTAGCCCTCTGTAACAGGCTGCAGAGGTTACTTTGGCACTGACTGTCCTCTGAACAGCTGTTTAACTCCTTGGGGAAACAGCTCACACACCTCATGGCTGGGTGGTGTAGTCCTTTCATTAATATGTCCTGTGCCAGTATGAACTTTGGTGATAGGAATTGAGAAAGAACACATCTGACATATGAGAAAAACAACAGTTACACAGCACAAAGGGTGGGACTGGAACATAAATTATGCCAGGTTCTCTAGAGTGTCATTTTAACAACTGCCTTTACAAAGAACACATAAATGAAGTGCTGATCAACTTCTGTGAGTACATATGTGGTATTTTAGCACTTTGATAAATATTCTGCAACCAGTAACAGTCTTGTATCATACAAAAGTGAAACCATCATGTCAATGTTTCTTTTCCATGTGTCTCAAATCTTCATCTAACTGAAGCTAACTTTCAGTCACTTCCATGTAATATTTCCATAGTTGAAAAGAATCGAAACAGAAAGAAAAAAATTGCCTCTACACTGAACGGATGTAAATACAATCTTCATCCTGTCCTCTTTTTCAGGATATTTATCATCCTCAGTACCAGTCTTCAAGGACAATATGAAATGAATATTTGGGCTACTTTGTCCTCTGTTTTACTGCTTTTGGAATAATGACTGGAGAAACAGCGAAGATTAAGAAGTGACCTGTCCAGTCTTCTGTGTCTAATCTTTAATATGAATTCCTGCATCATCATATGTGGATTACTCTGGAGCCAAATTAGTGATCTCTTCCATAAGTTTGCTTGAATTTTGTAGTTAGTGGATGTATATGAAAGTCTCTAGGACACATTATATTAAAATTCTAAACTTAATTACCATCAATAATAACTTGTTTCATGCTGTAATAATAAAAATCCCAGCCCCAAACGTTGAAGGCCCGATTGTCAGAGTTAAAAGCAAACTCTTTAGGAAAGGACAGGCTAGTCTATTTGAGGCCACTTCTATTCTGGTACTGATCAATAAGCAATTATCAAGCTGACATAGTCAACTGTTCCATAACTACCTGCATATTCACCCCTAGAAATAGGGAAAGCAGAAGGAATCTTCTTTTTCTCCTTCTCACTTGGAGGTGGCTCATAGCTGTCATCAGGATTCTCTTCACTGGGGACCACATACATCTCAGAGTCAGAGTGGTCATCTGGATTTTCATAATCACTGTCCTAGAAAGACAGAACTTCCCATTTCTCATCTTGTAACATACTTATGGCTTCATTGCAATGTACAACACAAATATCCTTGCAGGAGTACAGTAACTAAATTACAGCAATCTATCCTCGAAAGTACACATTACATTCCCTTTTAGTGCTTCCTCTTTAAACAAAAAGGCACTTCCACCTTCCTCCCCTTCTGCTCCTCCCAGGAACTTCCTGCTCCCTGTCTTCTCGCAATCTCCAAGGAGTCCTTTCACCTCAGGAGCTCAGTCTTCAAATTATGGATCAAAAGCTTGTTTCCCTTCACAGGATAGTTCCCTTCTAGTTCCAGCTGGGATTCTTGCTGTGTCTTGTTACTTCCTCTCCCTTTTCTATTAAAATGGTAATCAAGATCTAACTCCAGAAGTAAACTGGTCACTTCAGTTGCACCATTACTTTACATGGCTGATGGCCATGGCTGGCTTCATTCCAGTGCTTCCTAAAAGCTCAGCAGAAGTTTTGCATTTTTAAGAAGTGGCTTTCCTCTCCTTACCCCTCCTACTCTCCCTCCACCAAATAAAAGACTTTACTGGTTTCTGAAATTATTGTTCAGTTTGAGAAGTCCCTCAAATTCATGCCATGTGCTTACTTATCCAAAAAGCTAAGCGTCCATGGCTGCCATTGACAGAGCTTCTGAAAGTACTTCTAAGCTGAATGTAAAAAAAATGGAGGTAGCTAAAAGTTAGTGGCTACTTGTGAATAAAGCTGATGTGACAAATAAGGTAATACTTCAGTAGTATTAAGTTCAACCACAACTAGATGATTCAAACCCAAACTTTTCTTATCATCTGTCATGCTAACTTGTTGCTACAGTAACCTCCGACTACCCCAAAATATGTACTTACAAAATCATCTGACCATTGTTCCTCTTCATTGTCTGCATGTTCTAAACCAAACACAGGATTATTTAAGGAGATGGAATAGTGAGCATAAATGTTTATCTTAGATTGTTTTTTCAATCTATACTTATCATAGTTTAAAAAGAGTAGAAATAATTTCCTAAACAGTTCAGAGCAACACATCTGTCTTGCCTGTTTTTGACGAATTGTTTCAGGGCTGTTGGGAAAGCATTAGAAAATGCCAAACTGCAAATGGTCCAAACAGAAGAGCATGCACTTTACCCACAGTGTCCTGGTAATGCATCTCATTTTTAAGTAGGGGTGACAATTTCTAGGTAATTAAACTATTGCTGACCTCTGGGCTCTGCACTTTCTTGTTTCTTGGATAAAGCTCTAAGACAGCACACTAATTGCAAGTGTTCATGTTAAACATGGTACACTTATCTGATAACTTCCAAACTCTTTTCTCTTTGCTTCAGTTGTTGTCTTAACAAGATGGCTGCTAACTTGTAAAAATAGCCATGAAGTAGTTTGTGGGCAGTGCTGCATGATAAGCAAGTAGAGTTCTAACTCTAAGATAATTCATTATGTCATTTTTACATTGATAGTATTAAGATTTTGAATCTGTGATGATCCACTTTTTCTTTTTTTTTCCCTACTTAGTTTCACATCACAGTTTCTAGCAGGGAGGGACTGGATGCAAATTCTCCTCCATTTTTTACAGCAGCCTACATACAGACTAAGACAGATTTTGAAAGAGTAGCTACTTGGTATTTTTTGCTAGCCTTTCATTTCAGAGGTGTTAACTACCTTCAGAGTTGTTGTTAATGGTATCCTGTTCTCTCATTAAAAACAAATTATGAGGCAATGTATAGCTGAAATACTGTTAGGCATATAGATAACAAATTTACATAGACATGCAGTTTAAATTTACATTAATACAGCCTTACCTGAAGCATAATCCCTTTGTGGTAGACTTGGTGGTGGCTTTTTTTTAAGGCTGTAAATGATAATTATTAAATTTACGATCTCATAAGTGACATTCACTGAAGGGAGCATTAGCCAGACACATAAAAAAGCTGATAACAAAAGATACCTGCAGCTGAGGAAATACAGATTACCATCATAGGTGCTTAGCAAACAGCTGTAGAAGAATGCTTTGAAAAGCCAGAGATAAGGTATTAAAATATAATCTGATATTTTAATTTTTCCTTTCACTTAGAACATATGTTGAAACAACAACTTCTTTGCTCACCCCTTTCCTCTTAATTTCCAATGCAGAAACAGATAACATAAGGGGTAGAGATAAATGCATGTCTCTTGGAAGATGAAAATCTGTTCAGGTTCAAAGAGGCTTTGCTAAGACTATGGCATAAGAAAGTGGTGTAGCACTCTCCATTTGTATTTTTAGAACTATAATTTTGCATGCACTTTATTTACTGATTAATGTTTAAATGTATACCACACTTCTCAGTGCTGGACTCTGTTTCTACTTGCTATTATTTTATGATATAATGTCCCTTTTTTGGTAAAAACTGTTATAATGGCATTTGTAATACCAAGTAAATCAAAAGAAAATTTGTAGAAAGACTGAAAGGATATTTATAGCTATACATATTCATATGCATGGGCATGTATATATATTTAGCAAGCAGAAATACACACATATGTAATACATGTGTATACAGGTATATATGTGGGTATTCATAAAAACCCCTCCTTGCTAACTTGCAGCTGTCCAAAAGACATTGAATTACAGTCAGTTGAATTATTTCACTACCCTGTAACTAAAGAGAAGAATTTGGGTTTAAGATCAAGATGGAATGCTGCATGGGTGACATCAGAGGCCAAACTGAGGCCTCTGAAGAGGAAAAACTCCAACCCTTTGCTTTTTGTAGCCAGATAAAACATTAACACAATTAATGACTTTAAAATGACTCTTCAAAGTGACTTTTGAACATTGTTTGACAGCTCCCCTGTAGCACTGATGAGATCCCACCATGGACCTGAAGCTTTGTCCACTGAACTGATGGCTTCACTCATTCTTCAGTCAGGTCCTAACAAATTCATTTGCAAAAATGAGCAAGTTATTTAAAAAAATGTCTATGAAGAATTTAAAATGCTTTCTTGTGATCTCTGAGCAAGAGTGATGTCTATGAATTTTGCTTTACCCCAAGAATGTCACTCAATATTTATTAAATCCTGAGCATGCTGCTCAGGTGTCGTTTTTCAGGTATCACTGTGACCCTGGGTGGAGGCATGCTGGCACTAACACATCAACTGACAAACTTTTTCTATCTGTTTTAAGAAATGCTTTGGCTACTTTTGAGTTGAATTCATGGAATTCTGTTGCCCAGACAGTCACCAAAATCACCCCATGCACATGCATGAATCACTGAATAAATGGTGCGGGCATTGCTAAAGCTCAAAAAAGCCCAACCACCCCCTACCCCAACAAATAAAAATCCAGGGAGATTATTTTTGCAATATTAACCTGCTTTGTTCGTTACTAACAACCCTAAGGACTGATAGCTGCCTCCTCCAAGATTTTAACTTTCTGCAGTGTAATATAACAGTGTACAAACAGTAAATGAAAAAGCATTCTCAACAGCCCTGCTCTTGTCTTCCTCTAGGTTAGCACAGCCATGTTAGAAAGAAAAACCCAGGGCCACTGCCAGGGCACATCTCAGGTCTGAGGGAGGGCAGACCAAGATCTTTTGATTTACTTTGCAACATGTCTATCATGTGTTGTTCAGAAATGGTGGAGACTTGGAAAGTAATGGGAACTGAGGCAACAGTAAGAGGCTGTCTGGGTCATGGTGTAAAGTATGTGGCTTAAGCAACATTACACATTTCTAAGCTACTAAGCAGAAGGCTTCTATACTTTGTCCCAGGCCCTGTAAATCCTGGCAGTGGCCCTGACAGAAAATGTCAATACGTTATAACGAAAGCGAATGAAGTACAGAACAGAAGTCTGTGTCTAAGCAGCCTATCGTGCTATTGTGCAGCTATAAAGTAGCATACCGATCCCAAGTATCTTTCCCAGTTTTGCAAATTAAGGCCACTTGTTCATTTTGGAACCTGAATATCAATAGAAGAAAAGAAATTATGTTTCTTTCACAGAGCTGAAACAGTTCACGGCCACATCTACATTTGCTAGAATCTCATCAAATATTTTATTCATTCTAAATTTCAAATCCACTTAAAAAGTAATTCTCACTGTATTTATTGAATGCCAGATCTGTAATCCAGGCTCTTTTGAAGTCAGCTGGAGCGTTGCTGTACAGGAGGCAGAATTTTACCAAATATGCAAACCACAAGACAAGCTCAAAAGACATAACCCTATGCCAAGGTGTGGTTACATAGCTATTTCAGCTTCTGATGTCATCATCCACACAAATGCTTGCAAAATGGCAATTGACTTTGTCCTGTGCCCCTGAAGTAAGTGAGGGAGGACTGAAAGAACCAAATGCCATTCAGTTTAGCATACACATTTAAGTGTATTTAACTCTAGTATATACATTTTAGCTCCAACAAATAACCAAGTAGCATTTAAGACATTTCACACAATGGGGTACAAATGCCTCTCACACATGAACAAAATGCATGGTACAGAAATTCATAACAACTTGAAAGAGAATAAGCTATTCCATTTTAAAACAACTTATTCCAAGATTGCCCCCTATAGCATACGAAAACATTTAGGCATGTGCCTAACTTTTCTCACATGTGGAAACTGCAAATATTAATTACATACCTTGAATTCATAGCATGTTTTTGTTTTCCTACACTAAATGGAGGATTTTAAAATAAATTGCAGGGGAGGTCTGGGTGTTTTGCTCTAGCAACACTTATTTATACAGGCTACACCCAGAAAAGGAACCAAACATGGGTAGTAGCAGTCCTTCCTGTGTCGCACTTAATTCTCCCACAGGTGCATTTCCCCACTAGTGTTTCTGCTCACTACCCAGCATTTAAGATGTGCCTGAAAACTCTATGTTTTCAAAAGGAATTCACTTTTTCTATTGTTAAATCTGTACAAAGTCCACTCCCTTCTTAGGGACCATTTAAACTTAAGAGGTTTTACAAAAATTATACTGATAATCTTTACTGAATTGAATGTTTACAGTACATATTAGTTTTAAGTGCACTAAATCATCACACTTGTGATTAAAAGATAAATAAATCAAACTTTCCCAGAAACATTTTCAGAGTTCCAAAAGGTGTGATCTAGCTGACAGATAAACTTTTCATGACCTAGTGTAATAGTTTGTTATAGATTTAGAAGTATGTGGCAACTGTATAAGATAAAATTAATCTGAAAGTTTTTTTGCAAAGTGTTATTACTACTCTTTCACACATTTTTTTACAAATGACAGTGCTATGACAGTGAAATGGCATCTAGCTGTGACTTATTTTCTTCACTTTGATAAAATATTGTAATATTAATAAAATCCTGGCACTCAAAACATTCTGTCCAGCTACACAGTGACTGTCATGTTTCTTCAGAATAACAGTTAAAATTAGGTATGATATTTTTTGCTGTTTCTCTTAAGTGTGGTACAACTTGATTTTAGTACATTTCTCTCATTGTTTGGTTCATAAAACACCACTTCTCCCTCCGCCAAGAGTTGAATCACAAATGTTTTCTACTTGCAGCTATGCAGGTTGAAGAGATATTTAGTAACACAATGACCATTTTTCTGTCTGAAATTACTAAGTTATAAATTGTATAGAAAAATGGGCCAGTAGTAATAATAATAATAATAATAATAATAAAATAATAATAATAGTAAATCTGTAGTAAATCTGAAGTAAAGACGTATCCAACTAAATAACTGAGTAAAGCATCTTTTTGTTTTTCAGGTCACATAGCAAATGTGATTTCAAGAAATGAACATATTTGGATGGTGTGCTGTCAAACTCAACTACAAGTGCATGATTTCTGATGGCATTGTGAAGGAAGTTTTGATAGGACGTGATACTGCAACAAGGTGAGTAAAGTGACCTTCTAGTTTCTTATTCAACACAGTCGATCAGCACCTACCAAAACTTTAGGGTGAAGTCCTGACTTTGCTGTATGTTCAGTATGACTTTTAGCATCGACTTCAGTGGAGCTAGGATTCCACTGAACAAAGCTTAAAGCTTATGGTTTACAGAAGAGTGCTATGTCTTTACAGTGTGTTTCAAGCATAGGCAACCACCCTGCAGTGTGAAAACTATGATTTCTCTCCTTCCCTGTTCTGTGTTACCAAGGACGTGAACATGAAAAAGATGCCCCCAGCTCTCATTGTTTATACAACTTTGGCTACACCCATTGCTTCTACACCTGAGTACATAATCCTCTTTGACAGCATGATCTGCACAGCAGCTGGGGCTCCAGTACTGTGAACAGTTTTGCATGTGATTAAGGCCAAGCAGGTGACTGCTATCCTGCAGTGGCCAATAATTTTACTGTCAGAAAATTCTGACACAAGATGGGGAACACACAGGAACTTTTAAGTAATGAAGAAACAACCTGTCACTTTTTTTTCCTGTTCCCACCATTGGCTCAGGCTGCTTTCCAAAGACCTTTAAGAACACATGGATGGTAGAGGAACCCCTCCACAACTGCACCCCACATGAACTAAACTGGAGAGCAAGTCTTCATGCAAGAACTTTTCTTACACTTCTGCATAATCAAGTGCCAATCCAAATTTAAAAGTGTTTTAACAAATAGTGGTAATAAGTCAAATGTATTTCATGAATATTTGATTGTTCTTTCAATTTGAGTAGCAGAGGCTTACAGTATACATCAGCGTGACAACTTTAGGCTTCAGATAAGCAAGTACAATATTTGAATTCCCTAAAATTATTTCTACTTATAATAAGTTTGAATTTGATGGGTTTTATTCCAGCATGTAGACAAATTCTGAATCTGTGCTACATAAAGCCAATTAAAAAAACCACCCAATTCTGGCTTCAGTCGTGTTTAAATCCTTAACACTTAATAAAATAATTCTGTAACTGAAATGGAAGTAATGGTCAACTGGATAACCACATTTTTTAGAAAAAGTCTTAAAAAAATTCAACAAAAAGTCCCCTAAGGGCACACTGAAAGCAATACAGCCAGTTCTAATTCTGTAAAGCTTGGCACCTCTTGTACATATCCTTATGAGTGTTGTCAACTCGTGCTTTTATTGCAACTTGTTATGTGCTGGGTTGAAGACTTGAGTTCTGAACTCATATGGAAAAGTAAGAAATTCTTTCTTCAAATTTTTAAAAACTAAATTTCTGATCTTCATAACTGCAGAAAAGATTAATATGACTCAAATGAAGCATAGCATCATCAGAAAGATTATTATATGTATGCTTTTTATATCTCAGTTTGTATTCCTATAGCTGTAAGAGTTGAGATGTGAAGCTTTGTGCTGCAGTCATACATTAAAAGAATTTTTATGACCCTGCTCTTTTTTACAGGGTTTTTTTTACATCTTGAGTCAAAGAATTGCAGTCTTATATCAGCAATCTTGTATCTGACATTAATGATGATACCTAACCTTCCCAGCTTCCACTACATTTGGTTCTTGTTATTTCTCCCTTGTCTTTCCTTCTCCTCTTACTCTCTAGGAAGGACACACAGTCAGAGCAATACTGAGTAATTCACATTCAGGCAACTATGGGAGACAATTTGCAGCCTCAAATTATAAACTTGAGATGCTTCTATTGTTTCTGCCATCTGCTTTCTTCCCTGAGACTTTTCAAGTGGATCCACTGCAACATTATTAATTACAATTAAACTACTACTATGAAGTAGGAAGCCACCCTTTACTAAAAAGCAGCAAAAACAACAACAAACTCTCGTCTCCTTCAAAAACCCACCAAAAACCTTTTGACTCCTACCAGCTCTTCCCTGCGAGCAGATCCTAGATGAAACTAGGAGTTTTTTTGCAGATGGGTCTCTGAACACAGTGGTCTATTTATAGATATACACTGTTCTAAAAACAAACCCACACAAATTAAACTAAAGACCCAAGTAGTTGAAACAGGGTCATTTTAATGGAAACTCTCCTTTTGCACTTTGTGTGGAAATAACAAGTGCATATACCAAGTGACTGTCATTTACTGCAAATTGCAGCAGTGTTAGAGTGAAGAAGGATGAGTAAAGGAAAAAATTATCTCAGAATCTATCAGGTGTTTTACCATCAGAGCCTGCTCAAGGTCTGTGGACAGAAACACAGCTGCGAAAATGAGACCACAAAGCAGGGCTTGCAGCCTAAGGTTACTCCTTCTGCCTGGGGAACAGGAGTGCCAGAAGATCACTGTTGCTCCTGGAAGTGCATCCATCCCACTCCTCTCTCTGCCAGGGACAGCAGCTGCCCCACAAACACAGCCCTGCCTGGGCTGGCAGCAGGGACAATAGCTGAGCCAGCCTGGCTTTCCAGAGCTCTTGCACAGCCAAACCAGGCAGAACCCCATTGCTTCTCTCAACCGCGTATGGATTGCTTTATATACAAAAAACCTCTTAGTTCTTTTCTTTAACTGAGCCATTGTGGTCGCTCTCTAAGAACAATTTTAAACAATGTTTCTACGTGCCTCTTATGTACAAGAGCTGTATTTCTAGAATTTAATACGGTCATCCTGGAGACACTTCAAGTACTGTGTACTAATTAACTTTTAAAAGTACTCAGTACTTTTGTTGCCAATGACCCATGTAAAGAAAGACAACTGAATGAGAAAATCACATCCAAATGGAAGTCCTATGCAAATGAGCTATTGCATTAGGAAAAAGTGTGCTAAATAGCTAATTGGTTTAAATAGATGTTTGACTGGAAACAGTGAATAGTATATTCATTTGACAAGGATGCTGAATTACTGGAATCTCTTTCAATGTATAAACACACATGAATATTTTATGATACTCTCATGCATGTGGCATCAATATGCATGCTGTACAGCACTTCTTACTGGAATTAGGATGTTAGGTAATGCTGGATTTTGTTTTATGGGAATGAAACACAGGAGGATTTAACATTTTTATGGGAATTTTAACTATGATGCCTGACCAGTTGGTTCAAGGTAGAGCTCAAATTAAACTTAATTGCAGCAGGTAGCCTAAACAGTTGCCTAAGGAGAAAGGCACACATCCAAACAACAAGCTATGACCACTCCCAAAGAACATTCAAGGAAAGTTCTTTTCACTCAAATACTTTTTTTCAGGGCTACAAACACAACCTGTCATTGGAGCCCAGTTCTTCAACTTATGACAGTCTTAATACTCATGACAATTCTGCGTGTCACAGTCTGAACAGAAGCTTTTCACATATACTGAAGAACATCCCTCTAGAATAACTTGGTCCCTCCACTAAAGTACTATACACTATGTTACAACATAAACTTCCCCAAATTGATAAAACTAGGGATTGACATTTCAAACTTACTTTTTGAACTTGTTTATTATCCCACTTTCATTTTTCTTGATGTCATGCACCATCTTTTGAAGCTTCCTGTAAGATATTAAACAAAGCCAGCATTAAAATTACCAAATGAGTGAACATCCATTTATGTAAATTAATAAAAACATGGTTAATATATCTTCAATAAGTAGTTCAGTTGCTAAATAATTTGTGCATAAGTTTTTCCTCCCTTTTTAACAGAGCCCTTTAGCATTGTTTGTGTTATCCTTCTTCATACAATTACATGCAGTTTAAACAATCAGTTTAAGAGTTAGTGGCATCAGGAAGAAACATCATTGCCTAAATTAATAGTTTAGAACACTTCAATGTTAACATTTTGTCCAGATCTGACTTTATCACACTGCACAGCTATAATGGGAATGCCCTCTGCTTGATTTTATTCTTAATAATGTTTATTAACAGAACAGAAAAAACGTACCTTTTCACTATATTAGCCAAATTTGAAGGATAATCCCTTTAATACCATAACATGATATATAATGCTCTGACAAGCTACATCATGGGTCTGATACTTAAAAGGTATTCCTAGAGCCTAAATCTTTGCCCAAATTTACTTAAAAAGCAATTCAACCTATACTTTCTAAATCCTCAACTCAGAGAGAAAAAAAAAAAAAGTGAATAATGGACAAATAATTCACAAGTCCATCTTTAACTTCTGCTGAAAACTCAAACTATTAATTTACAGCAAAATGATACAGTGTTACCTGCTGATATAAAGAAATAAATTACTTATGGGGTGAAAAACAGATGTGCAGCAAATTGTTCCAAGATTTCCATCAAGAATGCACTAGACCTACAAGAATAGCTTGGATTATTATCGGAACTAACCAGATACATTAAATCTGGGGTGAAAAGCTCAGATGAACTTCTGCTTTTCTGTGGTATTTGTTGTTGGGTTTTTTCCCTAACAGATTCAGCTTCTGGTTATGCTTGAAACATCACACACAGCCATTTTCTGCAGTTTACTGTTTCTGTATTGTGCCCCAGCTGGCACCTGGCAGTGTCTATAAATTAAAAGTAATGAGGAATGAAAGGACTGAGAGGAGATTTAAATGGTTTAGTTCTAGTTTGGGGAGAATGGTTGTCTGCAAGGGGTTGTGTTTCTTCCAGAAAGGCTTGCCACACTTCAATTAGGCGTACGTGTAAGCATCAGTTACATTTCTTCCTGTCTTTGTTCTCTGTTAGAGATAGGACTCAAACATCATCAACAACAAAATCTACTTGTAGAATTATATCTGAATATTGCTTATTGCTCAGTGCTGACATGAACATTAGCTACATTAACTAAAATACAGCTTTATTTTGAAAAACTGGGCTTTTTTTCACCTTACTGGTTTTATTCTGTATTGTCATTTGGTCGCTAAAAAGTCCGTCCAACACACCCACCCACACACACACAAATAAAACCCACCCCAAAACTGATAACTATAAGTACCCAGAACAGTTTGCTTTTCATTTTATCATATTCAGGTGAATTGATTAGAGTAATATGGGTGTTCTATGAGTCTTGAATAAGGCTATAGATTAAAAGATCACTTTAATACAAATTTCTATTTTAAAAAGTGCATTTAAATTAGAGATAATCACAGGCGCTGCTGCTGGTATGGTGTTTTTTCCATGCAGATGGACTGAAAACATTCCCATTTTTGCATAACTGAATTTCCTAAAAATCTGTGGCTCTTCTTTCTTTTTTCTTTTTTTTTTTTATGGAGGCATTTCATTTTCTAATTACAACTTTGTTAAATTAGAGAGTACCTAATACATGTTTGCGTGAATTTTCTCAATTTTTAAAATGACACAGCTCTTAAGGGAGTTGTTAGAAAACTTGTTTGTTGCCTCTGGACAATTTAACTTGTATCAAGCATGTGAGAGTAAGCAGATAACCAGTGCACTGTGTATGGTAAGTGTAGGAAGTCATCAACCATGGCTGATCTCCAGTTCAAGTGGAATCCCCTTTGACCCATAAAGTTGAACAAACTGCACAAACCAGTCTATCCAGTCAGCTAGAGGCTGAGACTTCTTGAGGTGCCAGGTGATATAACAGGCAAGAACGGAAAAGTTTTACAAAGAGCTGTCTGTCTGACTTGAGATCTTAAGGAGACAGTAGAAAAGATGAGAGGCAGATAGCAAAGTCAATGGCAAGAGGATTCTCCAAATCTTAAGGGTATGAATCCCAAGCCTGAAGGCTGCTCCAGAGCAATGAGGAAACTGAAGCCCACAAAAGGGCATTTCTACACTCAACATTCTGCCTGGTTCTACATATCTGACCAGTGCTAAAATACTCTTTGTATGGCTCTCAAATACTTAAGATTATACTCCAAGTAAAGAGGTTTGTTGTGGGAGGGATTTATCAGAGCAGCAGCCCAGAGAGTATCTAGGAAATGGAGGCTACCGTGGCCCAGTGTAGATGGCCCTGGCTTCAGATACGTAACTACAACCCTCTTTCTTCACAACATCTGAGTCAGGACCTCGTTACCAACTAATGTTTATCCTCTAGTGTTCTCTTGGGATGAGTGATAGGAGAAACATTCAAGGACCTCAATCAGCAAGTACTGTAAATGAATATAATGAGTAATGCTAGTTTTACCTTGCATTGCAGGTAATTAAAGATATTCAAGAGGTCAAACTTAAGAGTTGCTTCTTAACTACAAGCATCAGCTCTTCATTCAATCTGGTTGAGAGCTTTTTATGTAAAATCAGGCTTGCAGGTAAAGGTGCAGTCTGTGTCACTGCTAATATCTGAAATACATTTCAGCAATAGATAGATCTTTTGAGATCCAGCTTAATTGTGACAGGTATAGACTGGATGGAACCTTTTTGATCAGGAACTCGCTGAAGACAACAGATTTTCAAAGTTCTGCAGATGAGAAGTCTGGAAGTCCTGGCTCTAGGTGCTGCTAAAAATTTTTAGGTTTCTTACAGCACATTAGAAATCCTACATGACGGAGGGAATAACAAAAAAAAAAAGATGGAATCTAAAAATGAAACACTTTTTAGCCCTGTGTTGCTATTTTTCATATCTTACCAATTTGAACCTCCAGTAATTCAGGATTATGAAATCTATTGACAAAGGGGTGACTACATGTGTAAAGGAAGGTGGAAAGTTTTACCACTGCAAAAACCACATATCCTGAAAGAAGGATTTGCTGTGTCACAAAATACCCAGCTGCACTCAGGGACTGGCAGAGCTGCCTTGAGATGAAACAAAATGAAACAGAACTGCCCTCTCTTTGATCTGGTCACAGCTCAGTGTATGAGGAATGCACGATGAGTGAAGGAAGGAAGCTGGGTGGACCTGGCCTGTGACACATTCCCACCTTCAAACATCAGCTGGAAGCTCATGGCTCTTTTGCATACACACTATCCTACAAAAGCTTCCTAAAGTTAAAATAACTTTCAGAGGAGAAAAATATAAATAACATAAAGAAGAATAATACCTAATCAGACGAATTTTTGAGAAATTGTATTTATCAGTATTATAAATCTGTGAAGACATTTACAAGTATCTATTATGTAGATATATGTATTATGGCTCAGAGCAGTCATCATGAATGGTTCCTCAGTTGTCATGACCTTTTCCTGCTCCTTGAAACAGGGAGGGATCTCCTGTATGCATGAACAGCACATTCACCTCTTTGCACACAGGGAATCCAGTACTTTGCACCTTCAGTGTGCACACTGGTTTTATTTTAGCTGCACAGCTGCCTGTGCCACATGACAAGTGACAGCCCATACCAAGTGACGTCCCTCTGCTGTAAGAGTATCTTACAGGGTCTCTGGAGTGGGCAGTGGGGCACAATTGCTTCAGGGTGTCTGGTCGTGAGCACTTGCAGCAGGAATGGGTCCTGATAATGTTTCTGGACACAGGGCTGACTGCAGCAATGGTAGGGAGAGCTGACAAAAAAAACCAGTTTTAAAGGATTCAAAGGAAATTTTCTATATTATGAGCATACCTATTTCTGCTTATCTGGAGGATTAGAATTACACCTCCTCACACTTCTAGTGTTTACAGGACTGTCTGAATTATCTGTTTTGCCTCTTGAAAAATCCCCATCTGAACTCACAAACCAGTTTTTTTCGTTAGAAGAAGGGCAGAATTTTGAACATGATACATTCAAACAGGTCTGCAAGGGAAGCTTTGCAAGCAGTATTGACACATTCAGCATTAAGGGACCTGTATATTCCTTCTCCTCCTAATGTCAGTTCAGTCTTTAACTGATGATGTTGAATTGGTTTTAAAATTTTAATAATAATTTAAAAAAATTATCCCACTGTAAATCAGACAGTTTGCACTCCAGTTTCAGTTCTTATACCTTTTTGGGTACATCCCTTTCTCACTGACAGGACAACCTATACTTGTGTGCCTAGAAAGCCACATTTTCTGAAGATCACTATGTCCATTTACTTAAAGTAAGACTGTAGGTAGGTGTAGCACTCATTTTTATCTTAAGAAAGGCAGCATAACAGATCACATTAAAACAAAAGTAGTTGTTTCTTTGAGGTTTTTGTTTGTGTGAGGTGTTTTTGTTTTTTTGTTTGTTTTTGTTTCCCCTCCTCCCCAGCAAATTCAAATGCTTAGCATTGGAAACCTAGAATAGAATTCAATAAGTACAAATTTAGACTTAAAACAAAAACATCTCCAAAAATACCCACCTGCCTCAGCTATAAAATTTAACAGAAAAGAACCACAAAACAGCAAGTGAGGAAAAGTACAATGTAATTTGCAGAATAAAAGCTAAGTTATTAGAAGATAAAAACCAGAACTCAAAGAACACAAAATTAAAAATACAGTTACCTCTGTTAATTAAAAAAACCCACATTAAAATATAAAACTAATGAAGGAACAGCATCCAAAGACCCCTCCTTTATGGCTCCTCACAGCACAATTATTCCACCACCCTTCTCCCCAGCTGGTCATTGTTTTGTGTTTCTACTGGCCTTCAGTTTTGTAAACAGCTATGCAGGTGAACAAAGTAAGAAAGAAAGTTATTGTTTCTGGACAAAGTGGAAGACTCGTGCTTGCTTTTGTG